TTATAGTTGAAATTTATATGAAATTTAAATATGGGGTTGGTATGTAATAAGGGTAAATATTATTAATGATTTATAAGTACATATATACATGTACATATATATATAAGGTAAGTGTCCCTATTACTGACATATTTCGCAACAAATTCAACTTTGGCGTGAGATATTTTATATGTGGGACACAATAAATGATCGTATTTCCGATTTTTTGAATAATTTGGATAATTGGGAATAATGTTTTTTATAAAATTATTTAATCAAAATATTTTTTAATTCATAATTTTTCGATTAAAGACGAAGAGAAAAAATGTTCCTAATATTGACATAACCGCAAATGTTTGTGTCTATTACTGACAGTTTGTGTTCCTAATACTGACAATGTAATTTTATATGCTGTAATCCATATTCTATATATGAATAATGGTTTAAAATGGTTAAAATGATAATATTCAATAAAAATGGAATAATAATTTGGATTTCTACGGATATTTCATTTTATTTAAAAAAAAAATTAAAAATGAATAAAAATATAATTCAAACAAAAATAAAAAACATATTTTTTATTGAATCAAAGGTAAAAATATGTGAAATTCAGCTGATTTGAATTTATTATTACTGTAGAATGTACTTTTGCTAGTAGTCTTAATATGCAACAATGAATAAATAAAAATTTTTAAAAGATATTTATGAAAATCTAATTCGAAATTACATAATGTTAAATAAAGTATTATAAGTAATATTTGCTACAAATGTATTCTTATAAATAATACCTAAAATATGATGTACCATATCACACGAAATTATAAGAAATCAGATCAATATATTCTAAAGCTGCTAATAAGCCTATTCTAAAGCTGCTTTTTGCTTTAACAAAGACTATTTATGTATTAAGTACGTAACGAAAGCAACCCATTCTCAATTTTTAGAACAACATTTTGGGTTATTAAAAAGGACTCCTTTTCTTATTTAAAAAGAACCATTTCCGTTGTGATATTTGTTATGACGTTAACGTTTACAGTAATTTCAAAGCATTTTTTTAGAAAGCGAATTGTACTGTTTTATTGACAGTATTGTATACAATATTGACACACAATTTGTTAGACGAATATCACTATTAAAAAGCTAAAAAGGTCGCAGTCAGATATAAGTTTTCACAAATGTAATCGATTTTCATTCGACAGAAATAGTTTAAACAATTTTAAAGTATAAAGAAATTATTTTAATTAATTAAAATGAATATAAAAATTAAAACTTTATACTGACATAATTTTGTACATAATATTGACCCTCTTTAGATCGTATTATCGACACCCGTTTTTAAAGCTAAAATACTCCGAACCTGTAGTAAATTCTTAGTGTCAGAATTCGGACATTAGAAAGAAAATTCAAATTCGATTTTAATTAAATAAATACGAAAATAAAAATTTAAATATTCTAAAAATGACGACATTTGTAAAAATACGGATTTTTGACGTATTACTGACACATATGTCAGTAATAGAAGCAGGGTCGAATTTTAGATGTTCCTAATACTGATAGGAATTATTTTTTAAAATTCTTATTTATTTAACGTTTTTACTCCGAATAACTTATAAAATAAGATAAAGAATAATCAAAATATTTAATTTAATATAAATACATATATTTTTAACCGTCAAATAAGTCAAAAAACAATAAAAACAAAATCGGAAAAATTAAGCAAAAAGTATAAGAAATTCTCCAACGCAACCCACTTTTGCTATGTCTATGGAAACAAAACTGATTTATGTTCAATATTTTGGAGTTATTTCAAAACTAAATAAAAGGAAGTATTGCGATAATTTGAATTAATCTAGAAATAAAAAAATATATATATGTTGTATAGAGAAAATCTCTTAATAATTATAAAAAACCTCATGTATGTCAGTATTATCGCCACTGTCAGTATTAGCTACACTTACCTTATATATATATTGTTTTAATTAAAAGTATTTTCAATGTCATGCAATAAAATGCGTATTAAACAACAAAAAAATATTAATGTATTTATGTAATTATAGTGCTCTTTGTTTGTACTAATTGTAATTCTTTATTTAAAAATTTTTATATCAGAAGCTCATGTATGTGTATATAAATATATACATGCATAATCTAGGAATTAGCACTATAAATGCATTTCATAAATAAGTATGTAAACAATTAATATAACCACAAATATTAAATATTTAATTTTGTTCATTGTAAGAGTGAGAAAATTGCACACCAAAATTATATTAATTGAAAAAATAAAATTTATTCAATTCGTTATATGTAAGTACAATGCCCAAAGATTAAGAACTATACAACTTTAGAAGAGGCATATTAATATAATGGTTTCAATTTATAGGTTATTGCAACCATTGAATCTAAAACTCTGTGATTTTGTGAAATGAAGCATACAAATCAAATAACAAGGATGCCTATAATATGAATCTTCTATCATTTAAGCAACTGTGAAAGTGTAACAGCAGCTTTAATATTTACGGGTTTGGCATTCGGTATTACTTTAATGCACTTAATATTTAATTCTACATTTCACCTCAGGTCTATAATATGTCATTGATGCCAAATAATTTCAAATGAAGTACATATGGTTCTTATTCATTAAAAAGTGGTGGTTTTTCTTAAAATAAGTTCAAAAAATTATGATTTTTCTTAGAAAAAAATACTGGAATTATAAGGTATGGATTTATATACTTAAATAACCAAAAACACGAGGAAAATAAAAAATATTCATTAATATTGCTATAACACGCAGTGGTATATGACATTACATTTTTCACTCCATTAATCCCTATATAGAAGTCACTCTATATATAAAACACATTTGTTAAATTCAAGCTCTAACATATGGTACATGTGTATTATATACATAAATGTAGTATGTTATGTTTGTATTATAAAAAAAATATAGAATATTGTGTAAAACAAATAAAATGATTAAATTCAATTACAATAAATAAAGAAAGTACCTATGTATAGTTAAAATCCGCGTGCTCTTCGACATTATATCTTGTAGTTCTTTGAAGAAGAAAGCGATATATATAAATATGTATAAGTATATGAAACACAATAATGTAAGTATATAACAATAATGTAAATAAAATAAAGACGAAGTACAGAGCGAGTGCATCAGTATTTTTAGAAATATAAAAAAATGTACGTACTAAAAATATTTTAATTTTATTAACCTTCAACGCTCAATCTAATCTTATTGACTTCTAGATCGGATTTTAAAACAGAAGTTTTAATTGTTTTTAATTAATTACATACGATCATCTTTTTCGGAAGCAGTAAGATTACTCATTTTTTAATTTTTTCTCAAAATATTGATTGAATTCCTAACCTAAAAAAAAAGTGTATGAATCGTGACGAAATTCGGTATACAATTTAGAAAATACGTCAAGCATTACGAAAAAAACTCATTCACTTTCTTCTTAATCCGCGACTCAAACGGCCAAATGCACAATAAATCCTTTAATAAATTTGAACCCAAACTTAAAATACAAGTGTGTCTGAAATAATTTTCAATTGCTCAGTCCTATTTTCTTGTTATTTCGTATTTATTTATATGCATATGTATGTACATATGTATATAAGAATATATTTACTTATATATATATATATATAATATTTACTTTAATTTTGTTTTGTCCACTCTCACCCAAATCTAATTAATGTTGATAATGCTGTCATAAAATAAGAATGAGTACAAATTTGTATATATACTGATACAGATCTCAATAAAAAAAAACTTAAAAACATATTGTTATCATATAATATGTATTATTTTACATACATATTTATATAATTTATTTATGTATACAATTTAGAAATATAATTGTTATGCTACTGATAGAAAGGAAGAAATTTATAATATTTAAATTGATTCATAAATTAAAATATAGATAGAGTTGATCATGCCAACTATGTTATTATCTTCATGAATTAATAGTTCTGTAAAACTTCCATGAAATTAAACTCCTATTAATTTTGTTCTATAATTAACTCCTATTAATTTTGTTTAATAATCTTCTTTTTTTAAAAAAAAACAAAGTAATCAAATCAAAGTAATCCAATTTGCAATTACCAAATACTTAACTGTATTTTATGGAAAATATAAATATTAATTTCAAATTAAATAATACGAGTACTTAAGCCATTTTTTAAATAATTTGTTAAAATTTAATGTACTTACTTGTGTATTTCAATGTTCAATTTGGTTCGAGATCAAACATTACTCGCACTTAATTAAATTAAAATTGTACATTTTGTCTTGATTTAAAAGAAAGAAAACTTTATAATAGAGCACTATATTTAAATTTCAAAATAATTTTCGAATTGTTTTTTATATTCAATAGTAATAAATAATAAAATTAAAATTTCTTTAAAAATTTAATCTACAAGAACTCATTAAATTCAAATTTCTTCAAATATTGGAATTAACATTTAGAATATTTTTTTTTCCTGGTTATAAAACGGATTTACAATTTTATTATACACTTCTAATAAGTACTCATAATTCACATGATGATAAGAGATCATTTACTTTCTCTTAATATATTTGAATGAATAAATTAGATTATTTGAAAGAAATATTTCATTCAGAAATAAAATTATTTTTGAACTGATGGTTACAATCATAAATCACTTGTTTTTGGAAACATTAATAATTTTATTTTTTAACAGAATAATCGCGTATTTAGTAGTATTTAAAGATAAATGATAAGAAAAATTTTAAAAATTTTATATTTTACATATTTACACTAATTTTTAAGTAATAATATTGATGAGAAGTTCAAGAAATTAAAAATTGTTAAAAATAATAAAATTATTAAAAATAAATTAAAATAATAATTTAGAGAATATTTTATAATATTAATTAAGCATTTATAATTTATTTTCATTTTACCAATTTTAAAATATTGATACATTTTTTTTTAATAATTATGAGAAAATCTATAATATTATTGTTGCCATTGATCATGATTCAGTTGAATAAAACACAAGGTTTATTAAATAGAGAAGGTAAAAAATTGTATACTTATACAGTTTAAGTTTAAATTTTTAATGAGCTAAGTTTGTTAATTAATATTGAATACTAATGGTATAATATTTAAAATATTTATATTACATTATATGTATGTGAGCACTTACATACAAATTAGATTACAATTAAAATTAAAATCATTGTATTTTATAATGCAAATGTTACATTTTGCACTAATGCAATTTGTATGTCAAGAATTCATACATTATTTTAAAAAAATTTTCCTTTTCACTGAAATTTTTCCTATTTGTATTTTGTAATAAGATTATCTCTAGCAATCTCGCATTAGATTTTATTGTAATTCCAATGAAGTTTTAAAATTTATTTATTTTTCGCCTGGTTTCATTATTTTTACAAACGGTTAGATATTTATTTTAAATTTTTAAAATTAAAATAAATATTTTTTTTTGCGGAAATTTTCTTTGACATATGAGAATATTGGAAAACACCAATCAGAAACAACATTAATATGCAATATTCTTTTCCAAAAAAAAAATATGTATGTATTTCTTAAGAATTAATTAAAGTTTCACAAAGTATTATTATTAATTTCAAATTAAGTAATAAAATACCCTTATCTAGCACTATAGATATGTATAACATGCATTACTATGTATTAATATTTTGCCTATAAAATTTGCAATACTATAATAATACAAGTTGTATATGTATTATTGTAGAAAAATTATAGAAAAAAAGTTTTCTATTAAAGAAGTTAAAAAAAAAATTCAATTTGAAATTTTCTTAAACTTCTGATAATTTATTGTAATCTTGATAGCTATAATAACAATTAGCCGCCAAAGAAAGGAATTCTCTAATCAAACAATTAATTTTTTTTAAGTACAAATCAATTACTTCCAGAACTAATTCTTACTTAATTATCGAACTAAAAAAATACATACACACATAGGTACATATGCTATTTTGTGTTTTCTTTCACTTTTATTTTTTTTTAATGCTGTAAAAATCCACTAATATTTTAATACCAATGCGGAATTTCCTTTTACTTTTTTTTATAATTATTATTTGAAATTTGTTTAACACAATCACTCTTATACCTATATGAGTAGTCTACTCTACCGTATATTTACCGTATCAGAAAAGTACCGTATATTTGTTTTTTGATCAAAAAAAAATTATTTATTTTAATTCATTTTATTTTCCGAATAATAAGGCCAACAATAGATAATTTCAGTGTTGTAAATTAAACAAAAAAATTCAAAAACCTAAACATATTTAAAGTAATTAAAAAAATTAACAGTATCAAAAAAATTTTCTAAGTGTATTTGCAATTTTACATTCAAAATTCTTATTTGTTTAAGCACTTTTAACATTTGTACAATCACTGTCAAATGACGAGCCCAACAAGAAGTGGATCTACACACATACATATTTCTATCCGCTTTTCAATAATTTTCTAATAATTACATACATATTTTTGGCGACATATGTACCTACAAATCTTTAAAAAAATTGCTCTGACAGCAAACATGTGTGTGTGTGTGTTTTTCTAATTTCAAAATTAAAACTTAGTAACGCGCTACTTACAATGCACAAAACACATATACATATGTACATACATACATATTGACATATTTCAAAGAAAATTTTTAGTTTCTATTTAAGTACATAATCTACGTATTAATGTTGGTATTATTTTTTAATTGGAATTCCGTGTATACCGTTATGATTCTTAGATAGTTTTTACACTTTCGTTTTAATAATAATTGCCACTTTAAAACTCACAATGCAGTTTAAATAGAATTTATATTTTTCACTTTTATAGATTTTGTTATTTTTGTCACTTTGTTAAAATGCACTTAATTCACATTTATATACATATGTACATACATGTAATTTTAAATAAATAAACTAATTTATGTATTTTATAGAATTGCAAGAAAATCTTCTACAAATTCGCTCAAAAACTTCTCCAAAAATTCAAGAAGAAGCTGCTTTATTTGTTATTTCACGACTAATTCCAAACCATACTCATTTATTTGCTGTAGAAATTTCAAATGATCATATTAAAAAGTCCCGCTATTTTGAGGTATAAAAAATATGTATGTACGTATGTATGTATATAATTTATGTACAAATGTACGCATTCATACACATACATAATGTATAATACATATATAGGATGTGTGCATACATACATATATACTAATTTATATCTACATTAATTCATACAGCGCATACATACATACATACATACATACATTCATACATACATACATATGTATGTATGTATATGTTAATTTGGAAATTAATATTAAAAGATACATTCTGTGTTATTTGATGGAAACAAAATAATTTCAGCTAATCAAGTATCCCAATATATCAACTGTTTTAATACGGGCGAGTGATGGTGTTTCTGCCTGTAAAGGATTCTATCATTATATTAAGTACAAATTAAAATGTCACATTTCATGGACGGAAACACGCATTGTTATTCCAAATGTGCTACCAGAAATTAATATGAGATCAGAAAGTTTAAGCTCATTTATTTATCATCAAAACGTTTGTACATGGGGTTATAGTTTTGTATGGTGGACTTGGCATGATTGGAGACGACATATTGATTGGATGGCTTTGATGGGTATTTCTATGTCAATAGCTCCCATTCAAGAAGAAATCTGGACACGAGTTTACAAGAATTTTGGTTTAACTAAAGAGGAAATCGATAATCATTTAGCTGGCCCAGCTTTTCTTCCATGGTAAAATATTGCAATATTAATATAAGTGTTAACTGTAGCATTTCTATTATAATATTTATGCACATACATACATACATATGTACATATATTTATAAATTCAATATTTTAGCATACATAATAATGTAATATGTACATATGTATGTGTAGATGCGTATAATAATTGTAGAACATTGTTTTTAGGCTGCGAATGGGAAATATTAGGGGATGGGGTGGTCCTCTGAGTAACAATTTCAAATTGCAGCAAATGAAACTACAAAAAAAAATAATAAAAGCATGTCGAGATCTAGGTATAACAATTGCTATTCCAGGATTTGATGGGCATCTTCCAAAGGCGATGAAAAGAATTTTTCCAAACACAACATTAACTCCTGTCAATTGTTGGAATAAATTTACAGAACAGTATTGCTGCCCATTATTTTTAGATCCAGAAGAACAACAATTTAAAATAATTGGAGAAGCGTTTTTAAAGGAAATTGTTAAGGAATATGGAACAGATCATTTATATTTTGTAGATCCATTTAACGAAGTTGAACCCAGATTACCAAGTCCTGAATATTTATCAAAATCAGCTATTAATATTTATGAAACGATAAAAGCAGTTGATAATATGGGAATTTGGTTACTTCAAGGTTGGATGTTTGTGGAAAATCCATTCTGGTCCAAAGAGTTAATCAAATCCTTCTTGACAGCTGTCCCACAAGGAAAAATTATAGTTCTTGACTTGATGTCAGAACAGTTTCCACAATACGAAAGAACTGAATCTTACTATGGACAACCATTTATATGGTGTATGCTGCATAATTTTGGTGGAACACTTGGAATGCATGGTTCTTTAAATATCGTGAACACAAGAATTGGTATTACCATAAACATGGAAAATAGCACAATGATAGGAGTTGGTATCACCCCCGAAGGAATAAATCAAAATTATGGCATATATGAATTTGCTTTAGAAAGAGGTTGGGAACATAAAGATTTCAATGTAAAAGACTGGTTTTATAAATATATTGAAGCAAGATATGGTATTAAAGACGAATATTTAGAAAATGCCTGGGAAATAGTGCTTAGAACTGTTTATTCTTACAGAGGGTTAATAAAATTACACGGAAAATATACAATAACAAGGCGACCGAGTTTAAAGATTGAACCATACAGTTGGTACGATCCTGAAGACTTTAAGAATTCTTTGAAATTTATGTTGGAAGCAAATTCCTCCGTTTATAATAATCCATTATACCAATATGATTTGGTAGATATTACTAGACAATTTTTGCAGCTTGTAGCCGATAAATTGTACTTCAAGTTGAAAGAATCATATAAAACCAAAAATTTAACTTCATTAGAAGAAACTATTCAAAGTATGATTATTTGTTTTAACGACTTAGAAAACATTTTAGCAAGTAATAAGGGTTTCCTACTTGGAAATTGGTTATCATCAGCGAAAAACATAGCCACAACAGAATTAGAAAGCGAAATATATGAATTAAATGCAAGAAATCAAATAACATTATGGGGTCCAAATGGACAAATAAGTGACTACGCTGGTAAGCAATGGTCTGGAATTGCAAAAGATTACTTTTTACCTAGGTGGAAACTTTTCTTTAGCGAATTAAAGAAAGCCATTAAAAGGGGAAAAAATTTTAGTGAGGGAAGGTTTAAAAAAAAAGTTTTAAGAGAAGTTGAACATCCATTTACCGTTTCAAAAAAAATATATTCTACTACTGCACAAGGAAACACGACAAAGATTGCAAGAGATATCTGGAATTTTTGGAATAATCTCACATTGACTAAATCGGATACTTCATGGTAAAATAAGGAAACATTTACGGCTCTGAATGTAATTTCAATTTAAAGATTTAAAATTAATTTAAATTAATATGGCGCAATTATTTTAAAAAAATGTTTTTTAACATTTAAAAAAACTATAAAAAAACATCAAATAAAAAAATCTGTATATCTAATTCATCCTAAGATATTTAATAAATTTATTATTAGATAAATCTTACGATTCAGAAACATTGTATATTCAAATATGTATATGTAGTTATATAATTTTTTATTTATTTGTTTATTTTAACACAATTACAATGATTAAAGAAATACATACATAATAGAATTTATTTTTGAATTTTAATTTTGTAATGAATACTTCTTTATGAAATTGTCTTTTTTATTCACATTGTAAAAGCTCAAAAGCGACAACAGCCAAATATCTTTCATTTATTCAAAAAATCCTTAATGCCGAAATGAAAATAAAAAAAAAATAAAAGCTGTTCAAAAATTTTAATGGGTACTTCTGCAAAATGTTCTATATTTGAGTTCTATAAATTCTGGTATCTACGGCACACTATTTCTTTTGGCAGAATTTGAATTATTTGTTGCCATTTCAATTGAACTCCCATTTGATTCAACTGATTCTGTATGTGAATTTGACAAACTACTACTACTATCTGGCTGAGGAAAGGATTGATATCCGCTATCTAAGTTATTGTTAATCATTGAATCTGATTCAGTAGCCATTGGAAAAATATAGGCACATGCATTGTTAGTAGCATTACTGCTACTCGTAACAATAACACTATTTCCTGTCTCTGCTGGTGTTATATTATTAGTGTTAATACTACCAGAATTTATAATATTATTTGATTTGTTATTACTAGGATAAATATCAGTAGAAATCTCTTCAGGGTTGTTTGGAGTGATTTCACTAAATTCATTAAGATTTTCATTAACTTCTAAAGTCGATTTACGATTGTGCTTTGAACGTTTTGACCGGACTTGTGAAGGATTCACGGTTTTAAAAATTTTTCCATCTTTCGTCTTTGAAATATTTATCGAGTCCTTCATCAGAACCATTGAAGAAGCTCCTTTAAAGTCTTGATCATTCTCAACTTTATCGTTATCACAACAATCTATAATATTGTTTTCTGAATCCTCATCGACATCATTACCATTGTAATGTCTGGTTTCTTCGGATTCCATATTATTTAAATTTTCATTCATTATTACATCTTTTTCATTGCAAATTAATTCACTTTCATCATTTGAATTTTGTGCGTTACTATACCCAACAGCACCAGCACAACTTTCATCAATAGACGGTGAGTTAGATCCATGGTTACTTGGCTGCCTATCATTATTGTTTTCCGATACATTTTTTTCTGGATTCCCTGTTGAAACCTGATTATTTGAGGAACATATTTGGTCAGCTTCAGCTAAATCTTCATTCATTATGTTATTGCTACTAGTACAAGGCGAACCAATATCATGTTGATTTGGTTGATATTGATTCTGCTGATGACGATGACTTGTATGAACATTCTGTTGATTTAGATTTAAAAATATTTCGTTAACAGTGTTTTGATTATCTGAGTTATTCATAACTTTAGCTTCATTGCCAACAACAGAAGAAATATTTGATTTGTAGCTAACGCTTTGTTTCGGCAAGTTTTGAGCCTCATTCCATTGAGTATGATTGTTAAAATTTACACTACCTTTATTTTGAGATTGATTATTATCGGTAACAGTTCGCCACAATCCTAAGTCGCCAACTTCACCAAAATGTCGAGTTGGTTTAGCTAAATTAATGTTGTTAGAATCTTCAATTAACAGCTTGTTTAAATAACTTTGATAATTTGCAAGAAAATTATCTTTCTCCTGATTCTGATAATTTTTCATCTTTGTGAAAATTTCTTTAGTGGATAATTTTATACGGTATAATAAAGATCGCAACGAGGCTGCTAACACTGGAGATGGTTGTTGTAGGTTAGCTATGGCATCTTCTAATGTTTGAATTGTAATTTTTACAATTTTCAATAACGTTGCATCATCTATTTGTTGTTTTTGGATTTCCTTACGAATTTTAAAAATTGTGTAATTTATTATGTGAGATTCTGGGCGTTTCTGCAATTATTTTTAGATTAATTTAAGATTAATTTAAGTCTAGAAGTAAAAATTGCTTGTTACCTTGGGAATTTCATTTGAATATCTTGGCTCAATATAATTTCGCATTAAATATTGTTGATTAGCAGCTCTTTCATTTCTTAAATCGTTCGACTTATTTTTTTGTTGAACGCCGTTATTTGACAATAGCAAACTATTATCATGAGGAAATTTATAGTCTTTTGAGTTAAGAAATAGTGATTTAGAATCGGTATTTTCGTTATTAGAAAGGTTGGGCACCGAATTTCTTTGATAAAGACAATCGGCTGATATATTTGGTTGTTGAGCATATTTTGGATGAAGTTGAGGGTTCGTTGTATTAGGAGGTGAATTTACAACTTCAACTTTATAATAATTTGGAATTCCAGCATTTGCAGCAGAAGCAACAGCAGCAGCTACGGCCAACGTTACCGCTGGAGAAGATTCTTCATTTTCCATTTCATTATCTCCATCGTTAGATTCTGTGTCATTATTAGTGCGATGTTGAAAATTACGCTGATTCAACGTTGTGAGATTCAAATTATGAAATGATTGAGTCAGCATATTTCGCAATGGATCATACGCCGGTGCACCTTTTATCTCTTCAAATAGCTGAATTAAAAACTGCGGATCAGACTGTTTTTCTTGAATTATAGCGTACGCTTGACGATATACATCTTCCTTTAGGGACTCAAAAAACTTAGAAGTAAATCTAAAAAACAAAAGCATTTTTGAAATAAGGCACAATTTTATATGTATATGCATATGTATATTCTTACTTGTCACTTTTTAGAGCATTAACTAAGAGATTCCTTTTGATTTCTTCTGAAGTTTCATCAAAACCTATCGCCCCTTCGCTCATTTCTTCATATCTATGATGTTCATTATTATGATTTAAAATATTATGATTGCTTTGACTACTATAATTATTTCCGATGGTAGTATCCCCATAAGAGCCAATATCATTCGAATTTACAATGTTGTTATCGGCTACCGACGTGTGCCTTAATCTTTTTGAGGATGTTGCACAGGCAGCTTTCATTGGAATCTTTTTCGGTTCATGTAAACCAAAATTAAAGTTCATATTACGAAAATCAGGACTTCCAAAAATGGAAGCCATATTTGCTACATTATTGTTGTTGTTATTGTTATTAATATTGTTATTGTTATTAATATTTACGTTGTTGTTATTATAATGAGAGCTAACCCCAGAATTGAAATCAAAAACATTTTCGTTCACGTTGTCTGAATGAGCAACAGATAAATTAGAGCTAGCCGAACCTCCTTGATTCACCTCCAAGTGTTGAATACCATTGATATTATTATTATTGAAAGGGGCGGATAACCCGCTTGGTTCACCTTGAGTTGGTAAATTAGTAGTAGACTCAACATTCAAACTTGAATGGGGATTTGTTGTAGTATTTCCTAACGTAGTAGATGTTGAAGTCAAATTAAGTGGTTGTGCTGGTCCGGGCGACGCAGAAGTTGTTGTTTGTTGTTGATTGTTGGAATTAAATTCATTTCGAAATGTATGAAAATATTTATTTTCATGGTTTAAAGGATTTAGATTATTTGAATTTATCACTGCCACGTTTGCGTTGCTACTGTTGGGTACATTTAGACTTAAATTGGTTGTTGATGTCAAACCTGCTGTTGCACTAACAGAAGATAATGGACGACACTCATTTTGTATATTAATATTATTTGTGGACGAAATTGGTGACAAATTATATGGTGCAGAAGAATTATTTACATGAGAAAATGAAAATGGTTGCTGTTGTTGTTGCTGCTGGATCTGTTGTTGGTGCAAATGTTGTTGATGTTGTTGTTGCATTTGATGATTTAGTTCTTCGTTACTTTTACAAGAGTTACTTGAAAGCAAATTTTGCCGAGAATAACTAAAATTAAAATACAATATAGATAATATTAAAAACCATTCAGCATTATTATATAGAAGTTAATTTAAACAAATTATGGCAAACAAAACAAAGCATAAATGTTAGTAGAATAATAAAATATTAGTCAGCATCAGGAAACAAAGCCCAACAATTATTTTTTTGTCGGAGAAGAACAACACTGTTATTCAATTCAGTTTTAAAAACATTAGCTTTTGCGTTTTCTTTTGTTGAACCGGATTTTGTTCTTTGATGGTATTGTTAATAGGGAAACATAGCATATGCTATTAAAATATACTGAACATAAAAAGGTTCTTATGAAAGACTTACCCTTATTTAAACTATATTATATCAAAATTTTATTATAATTTATAATATCCACAATTTACTTCAGAACTTATAAGGAGATATTGTATAATTATACAAGTATAGTCTTAACCAACAATACAATATCTTTTTATCAAAATTTAAGAAAGTCTTTGAAAAAAAAGATGTGCTCGGTAGTATTTATAAAGTAAAACTTATTCTATAATGAACTAACATAAAAATCCATAAAACGTTAAACAATATCAGTTTAGATGGATTTAGGCACAAAATTTAAAAATAATCATCCGTACCACGTGTAAATTACCCATCCACAAATACGATATCTGGCTCTCTGAAGTGTAATATAGAATGCACTAGACAAATATAACTGAGATTTTGTGATTTTATTCTTTCTTTGTAGACTTTTCGAATCAGTTAAATATGAAACCATTTAAAATTTTATCGAATCACTCAAAAGTTAAGTGGGATTCTTGTTTTATAACATATTACTGCCTACTTACTTTATTGCATAGTATGTAATTACTTCAATTATTTAATTGCAGAATAAATATAGATTGAACATTGTAAAAAAAATTGTTATTTTATGAAAGATTATGAGTTGACCAGTTAAAAATTTTTAAACCTATTTTAAGAAAAACCATCACCAGTCTTAAATTTGCTCTTAATTTTCTTTTATTTTCTTTTTATAATAGTGAATTATTAAAAATATTCCGAAAAAAATTTATGAAACTATTAAACATAAAATAAAAAAATTTTATAGTAATAAATATTTATAATATTCAACAATAATTTTCGTTTAAAAACAAACTTCTCTACATCAAAATAATTTACCTTCTAAAATTATCCCAATAATTATTTGCCCTTGTTCCCGGAGGAACTTGATTATTTAAGGCTGCTGTTGTTGAAGTTGGAGAATTTGCAGCATTTTGATGCAATAAATTTGAATTCGAGTTGTTAATATTTCCAGCATGTTGATGTTGTCCTATGCCACCAATATTGTTATTATGATGATGCATAAAAATTGGCCCAGCCGGATGACTATTTTGATGAGCGGGATCATTATTTAAAAAGTTCATTGGCTGTCCGTTATTAAAAGCCATATGATTAGCACTATTCCCAGATGCGGGCTGTGAAACTTGTGATGGTTGATTGCCATAGATGTTTCCTGTAGCATGCTCTTGGGAATAATTATAGCTTGACGTTAAATTTGATGTAGCTGAAGTCATAGATTGCTGTGTTGCTGTGCCGTTCTGATTCTGAATATGGTGACGACGTTGATGTTGCTGCAAGAAATTATTGCTAGCGTTATAATTGAAAGCATGACAATGACGATTTGGCGAAATTGGCGTTGACAAAGACTGTTGCTGTTGCTGTAAAGTTGAATATAAAGGTCCAGGAACTGTAACAGAAGCGTGCAATGGTTGGTCGGATTGCGCTCTATTCATGCCAATTCCATATATATTATTATTTTGAGGCAATGGAGGAACTGATTCAGATCTATTGTTACTTTGCAATGGCTGCAAATCTGATGTTGAACTCAAAATACGTTCTTGAAGCTAGTTATAGAAATTTTAATAATTGTATTTTTATAATTTAAATCAATGAAAATTCATTAGTTACTTACCATGACAACAGTGTTATTTAAGTTATTTATTTCTCTCTGTTGATGCCATAACATCTGATTACATTGACACACAGAATTTATGAGCATTTGTTGAGTTTGAATAAATTGCTGTAATAAAACTGGATCGTTTGAATTAGGCATAGCGTTCACATTGGTTGCATTCGATGTGTTTATTCCTAAATTGTTCCATGTATGACTGGAACATGCGTATTCTGCATTATTACCCGATTGTCCACAACTTAATTGCATATGTCCATATGGGTTCTGATATAACGGATACGGATTCCAACCACCATTCATATAATGTTCACATCCGACAGGTGGAGGACCATGCAAATGACCATGGTCATGTGAGTTTTTTCGCCACGCTGGATTATTTATCGACCTCATTGGGGGTGGCATACTATAACTTCTTGAACTTCCTGATTGCATGCTACCACCCTCCAAAGAGGCTGCCACTCCATTTGTATTAACATCAACTGCACCAGAATCAGCCGAATCCTTACCACGATTTAATGAATTTGGAACATTGGCATTTGAAACACTTGATGAAGCTGCACACGCTCCAACAGAATTTGTGGAACAATTCTTTTCTTGGTTTACTGAAGAGTTGCAAGATGTCGAAGTTGCATTTCTTTGCCAGTTACTAGTATAAGAATTTCTTTCTTGTTTGATTGTTTGATTATTGGATTCGTCATCTAAATCTTCATTGTCTTCATTTCCAGTCACAGTAGCTGCGTCATCATTTAAGTCCTCTTCAGATTGCAATTGTTCACAAAGACGTCGAAATTCCTTTTTCTTTTCCTCATATTCGACTTCCAAAGCACTCTGTTCTGATCTGGTGTTATTTCCTTTATGTTGTAATGTGTTGTTGAAAGCAGTTAAATTTTCACTTTCTTTATTGTTAAAATTTTTTTTTTCATTCACTTCAAAATCTCTTCTACGTTTTAATTCTTCACGAAGAGCTTTTAATCGATCTCGTTCAGAAGTCAAACTCATAGCTTGATTACGCAAATCATCAGTCATTTCATGAAGTAAACGAACACGTTCACTCATTGCAGCTTCTTCAGCTGTCTGTTCATCATTATGTTTATCATAAGCTTTTTTTACGGTATTTGTGAAATCTCTTTGCAAAGATGTTGGTACTTCTAGTGGTGCTTTGGAGGAATTTCTACTATTGTTTGACTGAATGTCTTCTCTACCAATTTCTTTTGGAGAAGGTCCCTCATTTTTTTCTTCTATTAGTCTCACTGTCTCCATCATTTCTTTTAAACGTTGTAGTTGCTTTTTCATGGTATTTATATCTGCAACTTTTTGTTTTATCATATTAGCCGTTTCTGGATCCATTTCATCATTATCAATATCGTTATCATCTTCAGTGTCAGTATGTCCATTTTGCTGTTGGATATTAATTCGATTGGATGGTTGCTTTTTCTTGGACCCAACTAATTCAATTGGTACAACTCGTTGATACTCAATAGGTACTATTCTGTTTGGTATAGAAGGTGCAGCAGCTGTTGCTCCACCTCCGTTTACACTCGCTATTAAAAAAATTAAAAATTATGAAAGAAAAAAAAAACTTAAAAAAATATTTACCAGAATTATTACTTTCTGTTTGATGATTTTCAACACCTTGTTGTTGTTGCGTTATTGTCTTTTCAGCAGTTGTATTTATATTTTGTAATTCATCTACTAAATTTCTCATTTCTGCTCGATGAGATTTTAGTTCGTTTAACTTTCTTTGCAATAATTCTTGTTCAGCTAATAAATCTGGGCTATCTTCACCCAACGAAGCACTTAGTTCATTTTGATTTTGTATAAAAGATTGTAAATTTTTCATACGATTAACTAAAGCTGCCATATCATTATGAACTTGTTCAACGGATTCATAATCTGGTGGAGCTTCACTACCATTTGCTTCACCATTAAAACGTATTGGTGTTTGATTACGAAGCTCTTCCATGTCAGATAAATGCTGTTTAGCTGCTTGCTGAAGACGCAATAGCTGCTGTTGTTGATCTTTTATGTTTTGAATGTTCCGATTTGAACTTTCAAGTCTCTGTTGTAATTCTTCGTAATTTGGAGTTGATGGCTCAGCACCACTTAAAGTGTGAATACTCGATACAGAATGAGCGCGATCGCTTGACTGTAAAGAATAAAATTATATGTAAATATAGGAGAAAAAAATATTGAAAACAGCAAAAATATCCAAATTTGAATTTTTCTGACACAGCAAGATTAAAATATTATTAACTAACATTAAGCCAATTCTCAAAATAAAAACACAATATTGCAAAAATGCCGCAAATTTTTATAAAGCAAGTGTTTTTCCAAATGTTCAAATTATATTTTCTGTATTTTGAAATATTAATAGATTTTTTTTAGTTTGATCATTGACAACATATTATTTTTTCTTTTTAAATTTGAAAAAAAAATATTCTGTTATTATTATTAAATTTCATTTCACAAAAAGAAATACTTTAATGAAAAAGTTCATAAAAAAATTTTTTAGTTTCACAAAAAGCATAATAATCAAAATACGATTTTGTTAGAAGTTAAACATAACACGGCTAAAATTTGTTATAAGTTAGACATATTTTGCTTTTTAATTTTGAGATTAAATTTTATACTTAAGTAACTATAGTCGTATTTTCAGAAATTCACTTGTATTTTAGAAATTTTAAATTTACTTTAATAATTGACAAATATAGGTTTTGATTGGTCATATCAAAAAAATTTTATGGTCATCTAAAATAAAATGAATATTAATGAAAATTTAGTTTTTAAAATGCAGCAACAAAACTAAAAAAGCACATTATACATATAAAATTAGTAATTTACCATTACATTTTCTGATAATATGTTAAATTGTATTAGATATTTTTTTCATATTAATATAAAAAGTAAAATAAACAAAAGCACACATAAAATTATATTAAATAAAAACAAAATACAAATTATAGGCTAAAAATAAACTTATCACCTCACTTTGTGCGACATCTTCTAAACTTGTAGAGTTTACAAAAATTTCATCACTTTTACTTTCTCCTGTTTCATTAACCATATTGTATTGATTTTTTGAACCCTTTATAATGATTTATATTTAGAAAAAGAAAATTAAACAAAATAAAATTGCAAAAAAGAATAAATTGCAAATGAAATTTAAAATACCTAATTCACCAACAAAAAACAAAAAAAAAAAAAAAATAAAATTTTAACATGAAAGTGAATAATAATTCCTTCATACCCGTCTCTGACACCAAAATTTATTTACTCTTTCAAATTCTAACTATTTATAATAATACTTGATATGCAACAAATTAATACTCACTTTTTGATTGCTTAACTTTGAAGTAACTGAAAGAAAATATTGAATAAAATTAAGACGTTCCTCCCAAGTTAAATCACCATTTATATCAATAGGCAAATTATTAATTAAATTATTGCTTTCGTTTGCGCTTGTAACTTGTTGCGAATCACATAAAATATTTTGATAAGTAGTACTTGAAGATACGCGACTAGTATTATTTATACCAGATATATTATAATTGTCTTCAGCTAGAGATGATGTTGAAATTGGTAATGCTATTGCGCCTACTGGATTTCCAGGAGTTGTTGGTATTACAACGCCGACAGCTGCTGAAGATGATGTTGAAGATGTATTTGAGATATTTAAATTTTGTTCACCGTATAAATTATTTTGCTGCTGTAAATGTTTTTTATTAACACTGCGTCTTGGTATTGGTCTCACTGGATAGCAAAAACGTTGATTTTCTTGAAAGTTGATATTCTCTAAAAGAAAAAAAATACAAAAAATTAGGCGAAAAATATATATACATATACTAATTTTCTTATTTGAAAATTAAAACAAAAATTTTTTTTTTCATTTTATAGTGTGTTCTGAAAATTCTATACCCTAGATAAGTTTTACAACTCGCTAAAGTTGTCCTAAACAACTTGATAAGGTTTACAAAGCGCTTTTTCTGACCAATTAAATTCAGACGCTAGAATATATACCATCAAAATATTCACCTGCGTCGTAATTTAATTATTCCGCTCCGGAAATTAATTTATTTTTATAATAAAATATTTTCTTTAACATTAATAAGGATGACTAATATTCCCAGTTTGATCTTTTTTACGAATAAAGTCACAATAATTTTCTGTACTTTCTCCTACTTAATTGGATTACCACATCATCTCAGTAAATCAAAATAAAATTTCGAGTTTATAGTCAAAAAAAATATTTTTAATTAAATTCAGAAGCGTTTTTAAAAATAATCAATGCATTTAAATATAAATATTATCGATCTAAAAATAAACTTAATAAAATATCAAACCAAATTCTGATTTTACTCGCAAATAAATAAAAGAAATATGTAGACTTATATGAATTTTCTCGTTTACGCAAATGAATATTATGAATAAAGAAAGGCATTTTTATTCAAAGGAAAACTATTCTCTCTGGAAATTAATAAATATTTAAATTAAAATTACATTTATAAAAACAAAAATTTTATTCCAAACTACATACATATATGAATTAATATAGTTCTAAACTTATTAAAATTATTAATAAACATTTTTGATTCAAACACCTGAAGTATCTACACATGATATTAAATTTATTTGCTAAACTTAAATATTTTTTTCTCACGAGAACATTCTTCTTAATGAGTGACTATGGATGGACATCAATGACGATCATTTTAGCGTCATTTTAGCGCGACAAAAGAGCATGAATTTTAAAATTCTAAAAATAATATTATAAGTAAGACGTTTTAGACAGAAAAAATGCAACAACAAAATCTTTTACACCTCATGTTTTTAAATTGAATATTTAATTACATATTGAATTAAATTAGAAAATTTATATTACATATTTTTAAACTACTGAATTCATAAATGCATCTAACCCATTTTATTTCTCGTGTTATATCAAAATATTGAAAAAAATTAATAAAATGTGGTAAAATAAATTCATAACTAATTTCATACTAAAATTCCTTATATTTCTATTAATTTATTTTTATCCAAAAAATTTAAAGTCACACATTTTATCGTAGTGAAAATAACAAATACTTTGTTCCTTATTACACTTTACATAAATTTTGGACTAAATTTTTTTTGTAGATTCTTAAATTAATTTTACCTATATCGTAGCACGACGAATCCAAATGTTGTGATTGTTGTGATTGCTGCTGCTGTTGCAATTGTTGCTGTTGTTGTCCACTTGTATCAATTGGATCACCGATTCCAACAATTTGACTATAACCACCACTATGATTATTATTTTGTTGCTTATCTTGATCCAAATTTGTGGAATTTATAAGTAAATAATCCTTAATGATCACCACAAATAAAGACAATATAAAAATAATAAAATTTAATACAAAATCTTTTATAGCCTTAATTTTTGCAATTTTTTTTTCAGTAATTAGGGTTCTAATAGAGAAAAAAAAACGTAATAGGAAAAGATCCGTTCGTTCGGTTTCAGTCAAAATACTTTCGAAATTCGTTCAAAACTAAGAGAAAAGAGAATTTTTAAAACATTTGGTCATCCATTCCGAAAAAAAAAATTTAAATTAAAAAATTAAAAAAAAAATTAAAAAAAAATTTTTTTTTCTTTAAAAAAATGAGAAAATTAAATATTTTTAACTGAGAGATTTTTTAAATAATTTATTTTTAGAATTCAGTAAAATACAAAATTTTGCGCAATTGATGTTGTAGCATGGCTATGCATAAAATTATTAATACTCAAAAAGACAGGGACGAGTTCTTTTAATTTACAAGTTTTTACATAAAAATTTATTAGATTTAGAAAGAAATAGAAAAAAATTAATATTGAAGACCATCATTTTTTGAACTGGCAAAACTATAATTGCCTCTCCCATATTGTTTCAATACTACTTATAGATCATTCTTTCGTTATACAATATTGCTATAAAAAGAAGGTCGAACAACGATAAAACTTGAAATTGATAAGTATTAGAATTTAAAATTCAATGTGTTTTAGTTAACAATTCATTTAAGTTTTTAGCTAACAATTCATTTAAAAAATTGTAAGTGAGTATGTATACATAAAAACATACTTTTAAATAATTTTTCATGGAGGTTTAAGTATGTTACGCATTTAATAACCTACGAATCTTAATAATTTACAAAACATACCCAATTAAAGTTATTTGGAATTGAAATTATAGCTGAAACAACTTAAAAATACCGCTCTGTATCTATTTCTACATATTTAAGCTAATGCTTACATTCAAATCATTCAATTCTCTTCTAGTTGGTGCTACAATTTCCGTATTTTTTCTAGATGTCCCTGACCGATATGATGCACTAGATTTTGATTTATTGGATGGTGCGGTTGATTTTGATGGCAATAATGGTTTTTGTTGTTGCAGTTGTTGTTGTTGTTGTGGCTGAGGTAGTGTTTGTTGTGATGTTGGTGATGACAATACCGATGATTGTGAATATATTCCAAGATCTCTTGCCAGGCCATTTGAACCATTATTTTGCATCATAATTGGTGCAAATTTTGGAACAGTACCAGTTTGCTTTTTAGGAATGTTAGGATTTTTATTACTATTTATCGGCGCCATTATTTTTCTGAAAAGTTAAAAATTTGACGATTATATTTTATTTAATTTATATTTTTTTATTTATTTATATTTGTAATACTAGTACTTTTTATATGTAATGTTTAGATTTATTAAATATCTTTACTTTATTTATGTAATTTTTTGTTGAAACAATGAATTTTATGCAATACATACCATGCATAAACATATATACATAATAACTACATGGGAATATATTTAGGAGATTTGGAGGTTAGGGATTTCATTATAATTTTATTAACATTTCGTAAAGCTACTACCACATGTTTCTCTAAACATGCATAAAATAAACTGCTTGAACCGTTATTACGTAGCTAAATTTTACCTTTCCTCTTGATCTTCTACTTTATTATTTTTCGTTTATACAAACTACGGTACCTATTTTACCAATAAGAAGTACCTATCATAAAACATTTGTTAAACCTCACCCTACTAGAGCGTTACATAATTTGTGAACTATTAATCAAAGCTACAATTAAAATATGTACGTATAAAAAATAAAAAAATACATATGTAAATAAAATTACTTCTCCTTATGTTTTCATAAATTTATTATTGAAATTTTAATAAAAGGATACCTACTTACATACCCAGTCAGACAGCTATTCAAAAAGTCTATCAAAAAGAATTTACAATTCATATAATAGCAAAAATAAAATTATTGGAAGTAAGTAAGTAATTAACTAGAACAACCAAACTTAAAAGATATTTTCAAAAAACTTTAATTTTTTATAACTATTGCACCCAAGCTTAAAATTTACTACTTTACTCAAAAATCAATGAAATCAAAAATAACTTGTAAGAAATTACAAAATCTCCTCGTACAACATTTTTAAATTATGTTGTTTATTGTGTGAGTATTGTTGCTAGGACAAATTCAATTTTGCAATTTTCACCGATTTGTTTTTTTCATTAAGACCTGCTTCCTCTGCAAGAGACTTTTTATTGTCACTATAATTTTAAATAATTTATGGCGAAATCATACAATAAACTATTCTTAGTTTTGAAAAGTTGGATTTTAAATAAAATAAAATATAGGACGAACATAGGTAAAAGTACGTAGGTACCTGACCATCTTTTTTAAGACAAATGATATAGATAAATGAGGTTGTATATTTTTATAAAATTGGAGAGGTATGTGGACAAAGGGGTGAACTAACATTTTGACGAAAATCGGGATGCTCGGATAGAACATCATTAAATTTCATATTGTATTTTCAACTGTGATTATTCTACTAGCTAGAAACTTAATAGAAGACGAGATTGACAGTGCACATAGGAGTTAAGTAGCAAAAAAATTTATATTTTTACAATTTGTTAACGAAACAAGTAAAAACGTTTCAGTCGGTATAAACCGATTGAATTATACCCTGCACCTTTCGTTGTTGTATAGAAATTACTCAAACCTGTGAAACCATTCTATAGAAACTTCACGGATATGTCTGACCTATAACTGGACACACAACTTCCAAGTTTCATGAATCTGACTTTATTTTTCCAAATATTTAAACTTTTGGACTTGTATGGGAGCTACTCGTAGCTGTAGAGCAATTCAACCAAAACTTCAGAAATATATCTGACCTATAACTCGACACACAACTGCCAAGTTTCATGAATCTGACTCTATTATTTTTCCAAATATTTAAAGTAAGCTTTTGGAGTTGTATGGCAAGTACCCGAACCTGTCAAGCAATTCCTCTAAAAGTTCAGAAATATATTTGACCTATAATTGGACACATGACTGCCAAGTTTCATGAATCTGACTTTATTATTTTTCCGAATATAAAAAAATTGCTGTTGGAGTTGTATGGCAGCCACCCGAACCGGTGCAGCTATCCCATTATAATTTTTAGAGCATGTGTAGAATATAATTGGACACATGTATACAAAATTTTATATTTATAGCATTATTAGTTTTTGAAATATTTAAAATAAACTCTATGAGTTGTATGACAGCTACCCGAACCCCTTGTCCGAATTAGTCCAATAACAATAGGGCTCGTCCTTGGCACAAAAGAAAAAACTTGTGAAAGTTTGGTGTCGATTGCATTATTCGTTTTTGAGTTATCGTGCGATCGGACGGACGGACGGACGGACGGACGGACAGACGGACATGTCTAAATCGACGCAGAATTTTACGCTGAGCAAGAATATATATATATGTCCATACCGCAGATGACTCCTTCAAGTAGTTACAAACTCCATACCAAAGTTAATATACCCTTCACGAAGTGCAGGGTATAAAAAAGTGTCAGGATGCAAATATAAGTTAACCCCTTTGTCCACTCACCGCTTCCATTTCTAAATCGTAGTAATAGATAAGTAACTGCCTTTTTATTTGCCTAATTTTGTTTAATAACTTATTAAAGGATTCTTAAATGTATAACATTGTGAAAATTCAAGTAAGTAAGTAGGTATAATACAGATTTTCCCCCTATAGTAACATGTTCCTATAGATAATTTACATAATTATATACATATAATGCTGTTTTTATTAAAATATTTTAAGGGACAGAATCTAAATTAAATAAGTCTACCGCAGCAACATAAGTAATTTGAATAGTTAAGTGAATAAGAAGATAATTGCGTAGAAACTAGATATTTTCAGAATATTGGATGACTTACTTAGCTTACCTAAACTTCCTAAATTTTGATTCTTTCTGATAATATTGTAGAATATTTGCATCCAAAATTTTTCAAATTTGATACTGATTGTAGATATCACAATGCACTGTTATAAACTTTTAATAAATTTAAATTTATAGAAATTTCAACTTAAAAATAATATAAAATAGATCGGTAATTAAAATTGGTAACACATTAACATAAAACTTTACACTAATTGGAAAAAATCATTCTGTAAAATTACTTTAAGTACATTTGTAGGAAAAACAATTATGTAGGTAGGTACCTAGCTTGCAAGATACATTATATATCTGCTTAGATATATGTATATGTTGTATGTTGCAAGTAGGTCCTACCTCACTACTCAAATTTATTGATTTGCTCAATATTAATATTGTAAACCTATAAATTTTTCATTTTGAAAATTTAAATTTTCTGACAAAAATTTAATATCGTCCTTTAATTTTCTTTTCTTTTTGCACAAAAACAAAAGAAACTTGTTATTTGCATTAAATAAATCCGGTCATACATTATTTCTTAAATAATTACATATATACATACATATGTACATACAATAGTATTTTATGTATGATACATACACATTGTTTAAACGGGTGTGTAGGCTTCATGCAAATTTGAACATAGTGACTTATTTATTATATTGAATAAAGAAAAATGTAAATTATAAACTAGGCCAATCTGTTTTCCACTTGTTTATTGATATAGAATAAAAAATTATAGTAAAATTATAGAAAATCAAACTTAGAAATTAAATTATTTTGCATACTTACACATAAAATTTTCCAAATAATTATAAAACTTTAATTAATATTTATTTTAAATATTAAATTTTTCATTTTCATCCTTTTATATTTTACTATGTTAATTCTTTAAATGTATGTATTTATATTTTACTAATTTTAAAAAGTAAATTAAATTTTTTTTTTAAAACAATCTTTAAATTTGTAAAATGATGGTTTACAGACTTGTTTTTCAATGAGGAATTTACACATTATCCTCCGAATAAAAAACTTTCGTAAAATTTAGTCATGTTTAAGAACTTTTTGAAATATCAATAAATTTAATGTCATTTAATCGATATAAAATCTTTTGTGAACTTTATTGATGTAAAAAATTAATTAATTACATATGTTGAAAAAAAAAATAAAACATTAAAAATTCAATTTATTAGTAAAAGGACGATCACGACAGACACTACGACAAAAATTTGTTATTCAAATTAATAAATTGACCGTCTGTCAGTGCTCAGCAATGTTAAATTTATATTATATATATAAATATGTAGGTATGTACATATATGTAATAATTTTATTTGACATATTGACATACACATATTTTGTTTCAATTTGTAGTGTTTCATATAATTTCAATATATTTATTGTATTTGTTTCTATTCACAATAGAAAATTCGTATTTCAGAGAAATGCTTTGTTCACACTACAAGAGAATAACATGTTTTATCTTTCCCCGTTAACATGTTATAGAAAATGGGTTACAACACAGTTGCATGTTTTTAGATAACGTCTTACTTATTAAAATGATTGTAAAAATTAACAAAGTAACCGTTTTTCATGACATGTCATTAGTCGTTATAGTGTGAACAAGGTTTAAAGATTTAAACATAATGGGAATTTCATGACATTAAAAAAACAAGGAGAAAAGTTCAAAATCGTGCTAAAATGATTGACAGTAACTTCCCACAAAAATACCATCCGGATTTTACATCGTTCAGGTTTAAATTTTTTAGGAATTGAATGACATTCTTTCAATCTGTTTCTAGTACTTGTTTGTAAAAAACCTTTGTCTTCCATTAATTTTATTAGAAGCACTTAATTGTTATTCGTTTTTTGTCCAAAATACAAAAAAAAACAATTGTCAATATAAAAATTGGGATAGTAAATTTTGTAATGTTAAATTAAATAACTTTTCCGTTTTTCTCATTTTGCGTGTTGGTCTATCGAATGCGAATATTGAATACAGAAACAGCACATGCGTCAAAGTTGATACGATTTTAACTATTTACGTCTACGACTAACCACATCATAGTCACCTCATGCGATACGGCTACTAGAATATGGGTGATAATATAATTATATAATTTAAAAATATATGTATCTCTCGTGAGTTTGAGAAATAAGAGATGAATCATCATTTATATTTTATAAACGAACTTTAACATTCAAATGGCGGCGTTTTTTTTTTTCAAAGTTGGAATCGCATCGGAAATTTTGCTCTTCTTAAAATTATAAATTATTTAATATACCGCAACAGTTGACTTTTTTTATTCGGTGGACGGTAAAATAATAAAAATATGCAGAATAAAATATAAACCTTCAAGTCAAATTTATAAAACCTAAATATGAGCATATGTACATACATGTTATGTACACGTATTTTCAAAACAAAATTGATTCTTCAATCGATTTTATTACAATATTGCATATATGTAAATATTAAGTTTTTTTTTATTTCATTAGATACAAATAAGACCAATTTAAGAAATACATTGAAATTATAGCAATTCATTAATTGAAATTATAGAATTGCAATAGAAAATCAAAAGACGTATTAAAAATACAACATTTACTATTTTAACATCTAAAATAATATAACTGGTATAGCTAGGTAAATGAACATTAAACAAAAATACATAGATAAATATACATACATATATCAGAAATGAAGGGTAAATTTTTCTTCAATCATTCATGGGAACATATACATACATATACCAACAGTTTTAAATTATATCTTCTATGCAAATCAACCAACATCTATTCATTGCATTTATTTTAATTTTTTAAATTTAAACGCTCTTCTTCTCCTTTCAATAATTGATCATATGCTGCAATTTCCATATCTAATAAAACTTTAACATCCAATAACTCCTGGTATTCTTTTATTTGTTGTCCCATTTCTTCATGTAATTGATTAATATCAGATTTTAAACTTGCAATAGTTTCAGCACTAACAGCCCGATTTGAATCTATCATTTTTTCCAAATCACGATTACTTTTTTGCAATTGCAGATTAGCTTCTTCCAGCTCAGATATTCTAGAATTCAAAGTTTCAATACGCGCATGAGCTAAACGTAATTCTTCCACAGCTGCGTTGGCCGTAACTAAGTTTCGTTTTACTGCAGCTTCAAGATTTTTAAATTTTTCTTCATACAATATTACAATTTCTTCCCGATTTGAATGTATTTGGGACTCATAATTGTCACGTAATTCTTTCAATGTTTTTTGTAGTTTGGCTTCATATTTTTCATGTAATTGGCGATCAATTTCACTAATTTCGCAGTGTCCTCTTTCACGCGATTCATTTAATTCTTGTGAGTGCACCTGATTTTTAAATGATAATTCTTCGCGTAAGCTTTGTACAGCATTTTCTAATTCAACACGGGCCAGTAATTCAGAGTCCAAATTTTTCTTAAGCTCAACTAATTGCTTACGCAAACCATTGTTTTCTAATTCAAGCTCATTCGCGTCATCTCTTGCTTTTTTTCCTTCTGTATTTACTTGATTATATTTCACTTGCAGATCGTTGAAATTCATTTCTCTCGTTTGAGCTACATTTTGCACCATGTTTATATTTTTCTTAAGTTTTAAACATTTTTCCTTCAATTCATCATTTTCCTCCCATAACATTTTTGTATCTATTTCTAACTTAGCCTTCTCTTTAGCGATTTCATCCAATAATTTTCTTGCATCTGATGACTCATACTCATACATTGATCTAATATTGGATGTTTCAAGTGCAACATTTTCCTTCATCATATTCATTTCATTAAGCAGACGCGTATTTTCAGTTTCTAAATTTCTGACACAGTCAATAAAGGAAGCCAAGCGATCATTTAAATTTTGAAGTCCTATTTTTTCAGCCATACGTGATTGTCTAATTGGGCTTACAAAATCAGTTGGACATTTTTCAATAACTTCCCCACTTTCATCGCCAATGTGTTCCAAATCTGAATTTATTTTGTCTCTCGCAGCCATTTTTAAACATTTACTGATATTTTACTTAAGTTTTTGAAATTACTAAACTACTTAGCATAAAATATTTTTTTTAAGTCCAAATTTAAAAGGCCCTCACTTCACCGCTTTCTGGTTTAATGCGTGTGTGCTTTCGTTTCTGAATTTTATTAAAAATGAAAACACTTAACTACACACATATTTTTAATATTCTCATTCAAATTAAAAAAAAATGGTTTAAATATTTGATAAATTTTATGGAGACACTCTCCAATCTACGTTACATTCTCCACTTTTAAATGAGGGAGAAAAAAGTATACAGTACAGGTACACTTTTAGCAATTATTTTAATTTTACATATTTATTATATGTACGAGCCACGCGGGCTATGGTTGCTAATTATGTATAGCTATCAGAATATTAAGCACGAAAAATTTGGTTTTGTTAATTTATGTGAAATAACCTCAAAGCCTTAAATTAAATAAATTTAAATATTTAAAATTATTAACTCTCTTCTTTATTTAATGTTTTAAAATTATACTTTTTGCACAAAATAGAACAATATTTTTTTCTGATTTAAAATAAGTCATCTGAACAACAGATCCAAAATGGAAGAAAGTATTTTTCTGAATAACATTTCGTTTTCAATGGATTCTTTCAGAATTTTTAACTTAGTTATGTTAAGGGTTGGTTTCATATACGACAAAATCTGAAATTTAATCTCAATTTGATTTAAATCGTATAATGTTAGTTTCTCTGACAGTAAATTATAAAAATTACTACTGTCATCAGATATACTAAGAGTTTGATCGTCACGCTATTTTATTCGGAAAGTGAGAAGAAAGTCAGTAACTCTCATATACATTTATAATGTAATTTTCGATGAGAAGAATTATTTCGATTGCGTATCTCGTTTTTTTTGAATTGTATACAAAAATTTTTCACTTTGTTTCTGAAAATGAAACATTCAGTGAAACTCAAGTGAAACATGCGTTTACAAACAACATTGCGCATTTATCTGACGGAGCTTAGACTTACTAAATTTAACAAATTAAAAATAAAAATCCCCAACTCGCTGCTTAAAACTTTCACAAAAAATTAATTGTCGTTATTTTACTTTTAAAAAATCTGACTGTAAATTTGATGACAATAGAAAAATTTCTATTATATGTCGTTAGATAACGTGACAAGTCCAACTGGGTTTATATGTGCGACTTTCTCAAACTAAATCGCAGGTTTTGTCGATGATATAAACAGTAACTTAGATATTTTCATATAATTATGTAAACATTACCTATGAATTTCCAAAATTGTTCAAGTTTTGTTTCATGCTTGACAGTTAGAGTTAGTAAAAGTGACATTGTAATATTTGACGTAGGAAATCTTTAAAAATATCAAACTATATTTGTATAATTGTCTTTAGTAGAAGTAAAATAAAAATATAGTTTAACACTTTCTTTATATATTTCAAAAAATATTAATTTAATCTGAAAATATAAAACGTGAGTGTTTTTAATTAAATTTTAATATTATAAACATAAGTTTTATATTATGTAGATGAGTCAGTCGAACAGTGCACATTTCAAATTAACATATTATTTCAATTTTTTTTTATATTTAAAGTAATTTGAATGCAAAGTTTTAAAATAATTCAAAAAAAATTAGTAACTATTCAAAATATAACATTAAACTTAGGTATTATACATTTTTTTAATTATTGTGACATAACCTAGTTAGAAAAAAAAACGCATTTAATATGAAATTAAATTTTTATTTACATATAGTTTTAGAAGTTTTAACATATACATAGTTTAATTTGTTTTATAATTTTATTTTGAATTTGTAGAATTTTTATACCTATCCAACCTTATAAACTAAATAAAAATATCAAAAATGGAGGATGCTGAACTACAAGCCTTACGTCAACAAAGATTAAATCAACTCCAAACGGAAAATGCCGGTGCTGATAAAAATGCTCAAAAACAAGAGCAACTTCAACAACAAGAAATGATGAAAAATTCTATATTATCACAAGTTTTAGATCAGGAAGCTAGAGCGCGGTTAAATACTTTAAAACTAAGTAAGCCGGAAAAAGCCCAAGGGGTTGAAGCGATGATAATACGTATGGCTCAAATGGGCCAATTAGGAGGAAAATTAGACGATACGCAATTTGTTTCGTTATTGAATCAAGTAAATGCCCAAATGCCATCACAAAAGTCAACAGTTAAATACGATAGGAGAAGAGCTGCAATTGATTCAGATGATGAAGATTATGGTTGCTAATGAAAAAATATGATCTATCATGTCTAATTAATATTAATTCTCAACTCAATGAAGACTAATTACTGATAAAAATATTTACAATTCATGCTTAAGTTTCTGTTTTATAAAACTAAAATCACCATTCAAAAAATTTAATTTTTATTCATAAATGCGTTTTTTAATCAAACTTTTTTTTTCATTTCAAAATAAATGATTAAATTATTAAAAACATTTCAGTTTACATGATTTGGCCTTGATATGGATGAAATTTATATAGAATCTACTCCTATCAAAAAAGAAAATTTAATTGCTCTAACTTTGGAATCGGCTTTAATTATTGTACTATTCAAGTATTGTAATTGTGTGGGGAAAATTAGCTTGAAAAATATAGAAATTGAGAATCACAGTAAATCAAATCGAAAGTTGATAAAATTTGACCCCGACTTCTTGTGCAATGTTCAAAAAGTTGAAAATTTAGACTCATTTAATGATTTAGTGAAACCATTCTATGTCCGTAATAAAAATCATTCAATTTCTGGCCTAAGTGCTATATGCCGAGAAATGATAGTCGCAAGTGAATCAGAGGAGGTTATTTTTCTTTTAGGCTTTAACAATAGTTGCTTGCAGTCTCCTACAGAAAGATCTTCTTGGACAAAATTCTGTGAAATTCTTATTGTAGACGCTTTTAACAAAATTGCAGAAAATTATGTTAACCCAAATAAACATATATTTGAAATACCCGAGGAGTTTCAACAATTTGAAAATCATTTAAAAAAACCTTTAAAAATCAATGATAAGTACAAAAAAGAAATAAAAAAGTTGAAGGTTATTATAAAGGAGGATTGCAGATTTTCTGAATACAACCACCCAACTTTAGCAGATGTTTTAATATTTTTGTGCCTTCAATTTTCATTTGAATTTTTATCCGAAAATATTAAATTTGAGCTTTTTAAAATTTTTCCACTTATTTCAAAGTGGGTTGAAGATATGAAAAAATACGATAAAAATTTACTAGTGATTTTAGAAAATACAACTTCTTTGATTTGCAAGTCTGAAAGTAAAACCAAATTTGAACAATTGTATTTTTTGAAGAATAACTCCAAAGAAGCTTTAACGGACGATAATCAATTTGAAAAATATAAACAATTCAATAAAATCCATACTGTGCAAGCGAATATTACTAAAAGTTTCGAGAAACTGAAAGTAAAAGATATCAAATTTTCTAGTGAAATAAAATATAAGAGCAATTATAATTTTGGTAAGAAATACATTGTATGTTTGAATTATATTTTCTATAAAATTCATACATACATTTCTATTTTGTCTATATTATATTGTATATATGTGTGCAAAAGCGGCATAATCAAATGATACATATCTTTATTTTTTAGAATGGAGCTCAATTCCTGTTGAAATTCATCCAGATCACGGGGGTGTTCCAAATAATCGACTTCAACGTAAAAAGGAGCAACTTAAATGCATTGTTGATATTGTAATGTCATTAGCTAAAAAAAATGAAACGATTGTCGATTTTTGTTGCGGATCTGGACATTTGGGCATAATTTTGGCTGCACTTTTGCCAGATTGTAGAATAATTTTTTTAGAAAGCAAACAATTTTCATTACTAGCTATAAAAGAAAGAGCAATGCGATTAAATCTTAAAAATTGTTTGTTTTATCAATCTAATATAGACTATTTTGTTGGAAAATTTGACTTTGGAATATCACTGCATGGGTGTGGTACTGCTACTGATATTGTTTTACATAAATGCCTTCAAAAACGGGCAAAATTTATTTGTTGTCCATGTTGTTACGGTTCAATAGATCCTATGCCGCATATATCGTATCCATTATCGAAAACATACAAAAATATCATCAGTGAACGTGAATATTTGTATCTAACACATGCTGCTGACTTAACTATAAATTTGGAAAATGACATCCATTATATGGATGTTATCGATACTGATAGAAAATTATTTATCATGGAGGCAAATTATGAATGTATGTTAAGTAGATTAATTCCAGAAAATTGTACACCAAAAAATAGATTGATAATTGGAGTCCCAAAGTAATGGATTTTGTCAACTGCATTAAATTATTTGTAGAACATTTGTTCCATTCAATTTGTTATTTATATAAAACAACTTGTTTTAATAAAATAAGGAGTAAATGTTCTCTAGATTTCGTCAAATATATTATGGTTGCGTAAATGAATATAACATTTTCTATAAAATTTAGAATTTAAAAAAGAAATAACGAAAAAAATTATTTTTATTACTACTGAGTTATAAATTTTATTGTTTATTTTAATTTATCGTCAAGATCATGCATTAATGTATTTCTGCTGTAATATTAATAACAACATAATAAATATTTTATAAATACAAAAATATGTAAACCTAATTTTTTTTTAGAGTTTTTTATTATTTTTGAAATTTGTAGCAAAGTTGAAATAAATTGGGCAATATTCTAGATTAAAAATTGTTATTCTCCTTTATAATATTTAATTAAGAATATAAAATTTTAAATATTTTGGAATATAATATGTTTAATCAAGTGTTTTTATTATAAAACACAAATAACATTCATTCCAGTAAAAATACAAGTTTCTAACTTATTTTATAATACGCTCATAAAATACACATTCTTTAGTCAAAGACTAAACATCGATAGTAAGTATTACAAGTGTTTATCTTTCTTTTTCATTATAGTGATTTTGGGGTTGTCTTGAATTCAAAAAATTATTTATTGGCTATTCTCATAACGAGTTACAACAGCAATTTTGACCAAGAATTATTGTTCCTTCAATTGGATAATAAACCAAGGTTAAGTCGTAGAAGATTCTCTAAAGTGAAATAGAGGAGAAGATTATTTTATAATTTTTATTGGGTTAAAAAAAGTGAAACAAAAATTGGCTTTTGGAATTTTATTTTATTGCAAGCTTCTAATTAAAAAACAATTCTCTACAAAAAAAAAACAACATATTATGTATAAGAAATATATGTAAATGTGAATATAATATTTATTGATGTTAAAAGGTCGATTATCCTTGGAAAAATTGACTGAAACATACTTTACCTCAAAAATATACTTTGACAAAATAATCAAATGTATTACAATTTCATGGTTATTTTTATACTACTGTGTTTTAACACAATGATAACACATTAGTTATCATATTAGGCACAGGTATTGTCAAGTTTTAATTTCAGTCATTTTAGACATTGGTTACTGACCTTTACAATAAATATTGGGTACTTTAAACGTTCTTTTTATTTTTAATTTCAAGTAAATTCAATTTAAGATTTGTTTTTTTTTCTGGTAAATCAATAATTTATATTATAAATAAATTTTTTTTTATTTAAAAAATATAAAATTAATTAATATAAAAATATTTTATATTAAGTAATTTAAAACTACAATTTTTATTGAAGTACTAAATAAAATAATACAAATTTTAATGGATGATTTACACCAAAACATTAATTTTGAATAAGTTTTACGAATGGATTAGTTTTTTGAAAAAAGAATTGCAATGACAAATTGATTTTATTTTATTAATATTATTATAATTCCATTGAAAATTATTTGTTTTCTATATTATTTATAAAATTTAATTTGGTTTCTTTTTTATTGATTATCTATGGATTCCATATATTATTTGAATTAGCAAATTCAATAATTAAATTTATTTAATTTCTTTTATTTAATTCAAAACAAGATTTATTACTTTGAATTCACTTTAAAATTCTTTTAATTTTCCATGGGTTTTTGGATCAACTTCAAGATAATATGATAGATAATAATTTGTGTTAATGATTTCATATTTTAAATGGTAAGTACCATTTAAAAAATATAAACATTAGACAATGGATAACAAATATAAATTCCATTAATAAATCATTTATTAAAAAAAAGAAACCATAAGTTGCACATTTTCCCATAAAATATATTTTTAAATCGCTAGATTTATATTGCATTATTAATTAAAATACATTAATAGAATATTTAATTAAATAAGATTAATAATGATATTTTACTATAAAATTTGTGTTATACGTGAGAAACAAAAAATTTTTTTATATTATTTTCTGTTAACTATGGTTTATAAAATGAATTAAATTAAATGTATGTACATATTTTTATATCATTTATTTTTTTTCTAATTTTTTTATTTAATGATCCAATTATTTAAGCAAAAATATAAATTCTTGTTAATTATTAATTTAAAATTTGTACTTATATTCAATAAATTTTAATTTAATAATATTAAAGATATTATGGATAGAATACGTAATTAAATTTTATAAAGTATTTAAAATAATTATTTAAAAATAACTTTTTATAGAAACAATTCGGATTTCACATGGTATTTCAAGTAAAATCCAGCGCTATTAATCAAAATCAAAGAAAAATAAAAAAAAAAAAATAAATAAATTTTCATCTTATGTCTATTAAAAAATTTTATTATTACGTATTCTATGGTTGCAAAACTTTGGCTATACAAAAGGATATCGCCAAAGAGCATTTTAGTTTTTTGTCTTCTTTTGGTTTTTAGTATTGTTAATTTTCAATATTAATTTGTTGTATTATACATTATAACTAATATATTTTGTCATATTTAAATTTATTTTTAAATAGTTGAAATATAAATAACACTAAAAATAGTGTTTTGTCGAAAAAATATTAATTACTACGTTCTAATGCTTAGCTTTCAAAAAAAAAAAAAAAAAGAAAAAATTATTGCATATCAAGTTGTGTACCCTGTATTAAATTGTCTTTTATTTTTTTTTTTAATTTTTTTGTTTTCTCTTGTGTTTAAATATTTAATATTGTTCATTATATTTTTTTAATTGAATTCTGTATACAATAATATTATTGAATATAATTATGTAAATATATTAATAGTTAATATTTTTCTTTATGCTACACAAACTAATAATGACAAGAATAGTGACTTATAGTCGAATGATTATCTCAGTGCTAAAAAAAATTTTTCTCATTACATTTTTTCTAAAGTATTTTTATCATAATATTTCTTATTACTAATTAATAATATTGTTATTATTGTACATTTAATACTATTATACTCAAATTTAAATAAAAATTCTAATAATTGGTTTAAAAAAAAAACAAGAAAACAAAATTTTCAAAAAAGAAAATAAAAAATCAAATTAAAATATTTTTCTGTTATTTACTGATATCGAAATAACATTTGAATTTTCAATGAAAAGTTTATAAGTGATTTCAGGAAGCGAATCACTAAGTGATATTGGTATTTGCAGTAAAAAAGTTAGGACATTTTTATTATTGTAAAAGTACAAACTAGTTTTAAGTGTCGATAACAAATTTTAACTCTATGGAGCTTCTTCCAAATATCGAATCACTAAGTGATTTTTCTAATATATCAAACATAACATTTTAATATATAACCTTTTCATCTTCCAAAACTAAGTGAATGATGATTGAAGTTGGTATATTTTTGGGAATAGTGAATAATACGAAAAACATTTTACTAACTTTAAAATTAAATTCTAAGAATTATAGATACTCACTTATTCTTTTCTCACCGGTTGATTAAAAAAATTAAATACAAAATGATAATAAAACTTAACGATTCATTTTTTAGAATATCTTTCATTATTTTCTTATTCAAATTTTAATGGTTCAATGGTTATAAGTTTTATTATTTCACATATTAAACTACATATTTATAATCTAAATGTTATCGAAAATGAATTTTTAAAAATGAAACTTTTTCAATATTTTTAAAAATTAGAAAACATTATTTTCAGAAAAGCCCTTTATTTGCACTTACATATCTTTGTGACAGCGGTACACATATCCACATTATAGAAAAATAATTTTCTTGTACATACTATAACGCAAGATATATAATTATGTATGTACAAATAAATTGGTTCTTGTTTAATTTTAAAGTGTTTAAAAATTGGAAATTCATAGAAAATTATTAATTTATTTTATAAATATTTGTGAGTAAAAAATTTCCTTTAAGAAAAATTTGTGCTAAATTTTTTGTCTTTTTAATAGTGTTATCTTGAATTTTAGAAAATTATAAAATAATAACATAACAAACAAATTTTATATAAACATCTTAAAAATTTTGATATTTTTTTTAATTATAATATTTGATATTGTTTTCTTTTATGTTTTTTTTTTATTTTACATTAAATAAGGTATTTTAATTAATATTTGTGAATTTTATTGAATAATTATTATTTTTCAAAGAAATATGAATAATTTTTATTATATATACATATATTTTCAAGACATTCAAGTGTCTATATCATAATAATATAAAATATGAACTCTAAAATTACGGCTAAAGATTGTTTCTTATAACTATCATAAGTAAAAATATGATCTTATTATTATTTATGATTATTTTTTTTTTAATTATTATATTGTAAATATCATAAGTTTTCAGGTGGTCAATTTATTTTATATTAATTGCTTTTCGTCAATAATTATATATTTATGTAAACCAGCGTTTCACTTTTGCAGTTATTTATGTATACAACTGTTAATTGCACTAAAAATAAATAAAATCGGTGCACTAATTTAATTTAATTCTTAATTATAAATATATAATAATATCCCCAATCAAATAAAAATTTAATTCTTTAATTACTAAATGTGTTTTAAGTATGAATATTAATTATTTAAATAATTATATATATATATTATTCAGATAACGATAATTAAAAAAGAAAACAGAGATGAATTGCAACATATTAAGTAGAAATATTTGATTCAGTTAACTCAATAAATTATGTTTTTGATAACAAAATTTACAAACTATCCGGATTTTTTATGAAAAACAATTTTATTTAATAACAAAAATTTAATTGAAAAATCAATGTTCCCTTTTGTTAAGCATTAATACAATATCAATATCATTATTAATATAAAAGCTCTTCTTATTTAATGTACACATTATTTTTTAAATAAAGCAAAATCATTCTTGTAAAAGTATAAAAAGAAAAATACCAAGATTTTACATAGCTTCTTGTACATATAGCATTTTGTTACACATAACATTATTGTGATATAAGTACAAAGCTAAATTCTAAATAGCTAAATTCATAGAAAAGTGATAATTTTCACCTGAAAAACAAAAGATAAAAATTTGATCAAATAATGATTAAATTGCATAGATTTTTACGTATTTTAAGTGGTTAGATGAATATTTTTAAATTAAAAGAACTCTTAAATATTTAAAAAATTGATTTTCAAATGTACCAAAAAAATTACATATAATATATATTTTAAAAATATTTCATTTATAATTTGATTTTATGTATGTATACTTGCTTAAATGACGTTCTTTGTATTTATTTCATATTCAATTATATTTTGTACTTGTAGAGTACAAAAAATGTAAAACTTTTAATTGTTTTTCTTTTGTAAAGTTTGTTAATATTTGAATTGATTATTTTATGAAAGAATTATATATATATGTATATATATTTATTATATGAATCTATAATATATTATAATATTATTTATTTAATTAAGTAAAATACCTGGCAATATTTGATATATTACACGATATATTTAATCAAATTTTACAAAGAAATCTTTAAAAGTTTTTAAAAGTAAAATTTGATGCTCAAAAAAGAAATTTTGTTCGTGATGATAATAAATATGACGACAACTATTTACAATAATGTAGTTTACAAATTTGATTAACTCTATATGTATATAAAAATTACTTACAATCAAGTTAAATTAATCTTTTTTTTTTTTTAATTTTTTTTTGTTTTTTGAAGCATTGTTAATTTGCTTTTGTCTTTTTAAGGAAAATATTCCATTCCAATGTAGATAACATTGTAAACACTATAAACAATTATTTTGGATATTAAATATAGTTTTTGATATCTCCAAAAAATAATGTTTATATAATGATATATTGCATTATATTTATACTATAAAAAAAAAAAAAAAATACACAATACAATAATTAATGATGAAAAAATTGTTCACCTTTAAAGCTTATACGATTTCTCTTTTTTATCCTTATTATAAATTTGTCTTATTTTTATACATAAATAGTTCTAATATTTAAAAAATACTTTTAATAATTTAAATGATTATACATTATTTTTTTTTGCACAGATCACAATTATAATCTGTTATTGCTTTTTTGTTTTTATAATTTGAATAAATAGATACATTTAACAATGCTTTTACAAATATATTTATACAAATATGAATACATACATTTATACATTTATATTAACTTTCTAAATTTGGCAAATATGTATATTAATTTAAAATATTATTTAATATAATATTGTATTATAAATGTAAATCTATAAAAAAATTTCAATTTTTTGATGTGCCCACTTTTTACTTTTGTCTTTAAATTTTTAAATATTAATTCATTTAAATTTGACTCAGCTTACAAAAATCTTCAGATTTTTATGTTAATATGAAATTTGAAATTTTAATTGTAAATTTAAAGAAAAACATTTTAATTTTAATTTATTTTCTACAAACGATTATTGAAGACATCTATTATTTTTGTTTTTGCTCATAATCTTTGAGAACGAACAGTTTTATCACAATAATTAATGTTTTATTAATTTAAATTGATCATATTCACGTAAAAATCTAAATTTTTTTTTAATTTTCTCAATTTTGGAAGTAATTTAATACTTAAGATGTTTTTTTTTTTTAATTTTCCAAACTAATATTTAGAAACTATTTTATATGTTTTAACAATTTTAATTATCTATAATTATAATGTGTCTATAAATATATTTAAAATAATACTTTTAGTTTAATTCAAATATTACAAATATAATATGTATAAGGTTCTTTAATTTTATGGAATCAAATTTTGTAAATTATATTAAGAATTGAAATTCAATATAAATATTAAGTGCTTTAATAATGAATTATACCCATACTATACACATTTTATGAAAAAATTGAAAAATGTATATATGTATGCTAATTTAATTTGAATATAATTTCAATTTTATTTTGAGCAAATTTCAAAAAATTTTTCAAATATTTTTATATAAAAATTAGAGACTTTTTATTTCATACTCATAAAATTTAAATAAAAATGTTAATATTCAATTCTATTTTTATTTAAGATCGAAATATTTTCCAAATGTTAGGAAAATAAGTTATACAAAAACGCAAATAGTATTTTCAGCAGATGTAGAAATGAAGTTTTTTAACAATACGTTTAATATTTAAGTTTCCACTTATATATAAAAAAAATTATATATTCTTATTATTCATTTAACATAAATAACATTAAAACAAAAAATTTACTTATATTAATAGATATATAAATATACCGACTTACATAATATCTTAAATAAAAATTCAGTCTAAGAAAAGCGCAATTATTCAACATATCAATTTTAAATATTCAATATATATAGAAAATCTTGAACATTAGCATATTTTATAAAATATTTTACTAAATAAATAAACAAGACAACTTATGCAATCAAGGGCTTAGTATTATACCACTTAATAAAGAAATGTGAACAACATAATATACATATATTATTTACATATATTCTATTAAAATTATACAAGTATACAAAAATATGTAATACTTATATACCTATGCATGTACATTTGCATAATATACATTTAAGTTTGTTTAAATATTTATTTGAAATTTTTTTTGCTATATATTTTCAATTTAACTTCTTGGTTGAAGAGATGAATCGATAATTATATGACTTACAGCTTTGTGCACTTTCAAACCGTGTTCTAATTCAAAGCGAGCTGAGCACTTATCACATCCAAAACTTTTAACAACAATACTACAAACCTTTCGAATATGTTCTTGTAAATCTGAGGAATTTTCAAATTGAGCTTCGCATTTACCACATCTATATTCTAATACATTATTATCAGGATGTTTTGTTTTCACATGACTTAATAATCCATTTTTTGACTCAAATTGTTTTGAGCATAAATGACATGGAAATGTTTCTTTTGTTTTTAAATGAGTTTTTTCATGTCTTTCAATAATACCTTTAACAATGGACTTTTTCTCACAGTATTTGCATTTATATTGTACTCCATTTATATGCAAACGTTCATGGTTTTTTAAATATTTTTCAGCAGTAAAAGCACTCTGACAATATTGACATTGATAAGGTCGAATATTTTCCAATGTACGTTGCTTATTAATTGAATGTTTATTTTTCATATGTGAATTCAAATAGTCCATACGATGAAATTTCATACGACAATGCACACATTCTAATTTTTTTTCCTTATTGTGCAAAATTTCATGATTCTTACGATGAGAATTTTGTAGAAAACGTTTATCACAATACCGGCACTGGAATTGTCTTTCACCAGTATGTGAAAGTTCATGAGTTTTTAATGACGTAGAAAATTTAAAGCGTGCAGGACAAAACGCACATTTGAAACGATTTTCTTCATTATGAATTCGCATATGAACTTTTAAAGAAGCTGACGAAGATAACATCTTACCACAAACTTGACATGAGCACTTAGTTTTTTTACCTTAAATATAAACATTTTTAATGAATTTTAAAAATAAAAGAATTGACCTAATTTTACCATTTTTGTCGGTTAATAAAAAGTGACCATCTTCATGCTTTTTGCGGTTGCACGTACTTCGCAACATTTTATAGCAAATTTGACATTTCCAATATCCTTTAGGGACTGCAGGATTTAATTCACTTGCGTGCTTAATTTGTTCATGTCTTTCACATTTATTACGTTCATGAAACCTTCTTGGACAAAATTTGCACCCAAAAGGAATACTAAAAGCTCTGTCTGCACAAATGTCTCTATGATTTTTCATATTTTTTATTACAGCAAATTTTTTGTTGCATATTTCGCAACGAAATGGTTTATTGGAAATCGAATCACTTGTAATTATTATTTTCCCCTTACAATCTTTTAAGTTCGATTTTACTTTCTTAATTTTTTTTAACTGGGATTTTTTTATCGTATCAGAATTATCTTTTTCATATTGCACTTCAATATCACCATTATTATTGTAAATATTTGTTTCAATTAATAATAATTCTTTATCTGGATTGTCTTCAATCGAACTAATTTCATTATTAAATGTAAAATTATCTTGTAAATATTCCGAGCTGTTATTAATAATTTGTTGATCAAAATTTAATATAATGTTATCAAAATTGACTGGGCTTATAGACTTCCGAATTTGGTTATCACTATGACTGTAATTTTCAGAAGAAAGAGATTCTATGGATGATCCAGTGATGTCAATTGCTGAATTTACAATAATAAAATCTTTTGGTTTTTGCTTTTCATTAAGTTTTCTATTTTTGCTACAGTAGGTTTTTCTAATATTGGATCTGTTGTAATTGTTGTTATTTATTGGCTCAAAATTAAATAGTTGATGTGCTTGAAATAAATGTTCCGAGAAAATTTGTTGAGATAAAAATATTTCACTGCAAAATGTACATAAGTAGTTCAATTGTCCCTTAATAACAAAAATTTCACCGCACTTTGTATTAGAATCAAAATTATCAAATATATCATCTGGAAGTAACTCCAAATCGTCTACATTTATGTCATTCATTTCTTAAACTTCTTTTTTCCTTTCAGATATGCCTTAATGTATTTTATTGCTTAAGTGAATATTTAACATGTAAAAAAACCTTGGTATAATCAGCAAAAGCTCGACTTTTTTCAAAATTAAAACTTCTTTCATTCTGTATACAAGAGTTAAAATGATGAAGTTCATAATACAAAACCTTTTTTATTTTAAAATTTTTTTTCTTAGACTCTCATGAACTGTATTAAGGGCTAGTGGTGATGGATATGTCCTTTGGCTCTTTATGTTATATTATGAAAAGATCGATATGTTGATTGTCAATACAACTCGGTATTTGCAATTTTCGCTATTTGTTTTTCTTATTCGGGAATAATAAAGGAAAAACAGAGGGAAATTAATGAATAAAATGTTGTAAATATTCCTTACACTTCAACACATAATTTGGCACTTTGTTTTACTTGTTTAATAAAGAAAATAATTTTACTTTTTTAATAATTAGCAACAACAGATGCTAATGCACCCAAAAAGTGCATAGCTCTAAATATTTCTAAGTTCTGGTTCTATTCTATGCATATTCCATGACATTTGTTCAGTTTTTAGTTTTTGCTTCTTGTGTATGTATGTATGTATGTTATATTGTCTAATGTCCATTTCACATTGTGTTCCTGTCAATTTAACATTTACTCTAGCGTTTTTTTTATACAACTTAATTGTGAGATGAATTTCATCAATAATCTTACTTTTGATTGAGTTTAGAGTTTAATTCAGCAGGGTAATAATATATACATAGAAAGAAAAGAAAAGTTCGTAGGGTAAGACTTCTTATTTTTTACATAATATGTAAAAGCTTTTTGTATGAGTGGAGTTTCAATAATATTCTTCAGAATTGATTACCACAACTGTCAAATATTTTTTCATGTGACCATCTAATTTTGTGTTGGAACACTATTTATTGAAGTAGACGAACACAATCCAGTTTTTCTTAAAATCACTTTTTTGACATTATGATGAAATCCTAATATTTCGGAAATAAATATTGTAAAATAAATTAATTTTAAGGTTTTCAAATAAAAAATTTAGAAAAACTTAACTTACTACTGATTAATAATAATATAAAACGGGGGTCGCGTATAACGTACATCTTTACGTACGTTATACCTGAGGTCTCTGTACTTTTATATGGCTTTTTTTGTATTCTGTAATAACTTTCAAAATATTTTTTTTATAATTTAAAACTGTTGATATTCCTTTACCTAAATTAGTATAAATTAGTATTAAATTTAAAATTAAAATTAATAAAAATATTAGGCTTATGAACAACATTCTCCTTTATTGTTAAGTATGTAGTATATTATTTGCTTAGCACAAGTGTTGTTTCAATAAAATAATTGTACACCTCAACATATCAAAAACATTTTTGACTTAATAGAAAATATGCCGAAATTATACAGTTTTAATCTATCTAGTTCAATCAGCTTCATTTTCTATAAAGAATTTTATGTCACTAGATTTAATTTCGTTCTATCATTTTCTTAAACTAGAAAATTATATAAAAAAAACAGGTAAATATGTATATAAATCATTTTAAATCATAAAAATGTAGAACAAAAGTTACAAATTGTCCTGTCTTATAGATCTAAAGCAATATTTGAAATATTACAAATAACAGAAGTCAACAGCTAGCGAAATTTGAAGAAAATTCAAATAAAAATATATATCCCTTAAACAATAAATGGGTTTGTTGCTAACCTTTAAGTGAAGAGTGTTAGTTCTCTTCTTCAAAGAAGAAATATTGCCCAGCTCGTTTTTGTTCGATATCCTAAAAATTATATTAATTAACTATACTCATATTTGTTAAGTTTTAATAAATTACCTTTACTGAAGAATTTTTATTAATACGTGGCCGGAAATTATTAGGATCACGACGAAAAGTAATACCCAAAAGTTCTAGGAATCGGTTCATTCCATTTAAAAGTGATTGAGGTGAATATGCTGTCGTTTCAACAGATGGTGTTCCTTCTAAAACAATAACACGATCTGCCAAATAAGTAGCCATTATAAAATCGTGTTCTACAACAAAACCCGTCTTTTTAGCGTGAAGAATATATCTAAAAATGAAAGTTATTGAATATTTTCATTTTAAATATTATCATCCATATTTTCTAAAACGCATGATGAAATAAATTCTCATTCAAATAAATTGCACTGCTTTCCAAAACCAATATTGAAATTTGAGTTTAAATACTAAAATACAGTGCTTTTAATTAATACGAGTACTATCATACTAACCTTTTAATCACTTTTGCTGCAACTAAACGTTGTTCAGAATCTAAATAAGCCGAAGGTTCATCAATCAAATAAACATCGGCCGGTTTTCCCAAACATAAAACAAGCGCGACTCGTTGTAATTCTCCTCCCGATAGATTTTGAACTTCTTGGTCCATAATTTCTTCGATTTTCATTGGTTTCATAACATCAGCTACGAATTGTGGGTGAACGTATGCGTCACGGATTTTTTCGTGCAGAAGCATCTTAACAGTACCTTGATGCTTTGGTGAAATTTTTTGCGGTTTGTACGAAATATTCAAAACTGGCAATTCTTCTGAGCCTTCATCGGGTTTTAAATTTCCAGCAAGCACTCGAATAAATGTTGTTTTACCGGTTCCATTTTCTCCTAATAAAACCAATATTTCGGAGTCACTAAATTGTCCTTGTTGCACGTTTAACTTGAATCTTCCTAAAGTTTTTGACATTTGTGGATATATGTAGTGATTCATACGTTTGATTTCTTCTTCCGTAGCTGATTCAGAAACCTTAAATAATGTTTTTAAAATTATAGAAAAGAACAATATTAAAAATTTTTTTTACCTTAAATGTTAATGATTCCGTTCTGAATCTCATATTTTCTGTTGGTACAAAACCATCTAAAAATATGTTTATCCCCTCACGAACTGAGAAAGGCATAGTTACTACACCATAGCAACCAGGAACACCATAAAGACAGCATATAAAATCAGATAAATAATCGAGTACCGACAGATCGTGTTCAACAACAATAATAAATCTAAATAAAAACTTTTAATAAATTTAATGAGCATATTTAATACCAATTTTACTTTAATGGTTCAATTAAATGGCGTATGGTTAAAGCAGCATTTAGTCTTTGTTTTACATCTAAATATGACGATGGTTCATCAAACATAAATATGTCACCATTTTGAATACATGTTATTGCTATTGCAAATCTCTGAAGTTCTCCACCAGATAAAGCTTGAATTTCACGATCTCTTATGTTTGTCAAATCCAACATATTGCAAATAACATCCTGATTGCTTCTTTCATCCTTTTTATCTAATACTACACCTACAGCACCTTTAACGGCACGCGGAATTTGATCAACATATTGAGGCTTAATTAAAGCTTTTAAGTTATCTTCCAAAATTTTTGTAAAGTAATTTTGTAACTCAGATCCCCGGAAGTAGGTTAAAATTTCAGTCCAATCTGGAGGATCAACATATCGGCCTAAATTTGGCTTTTGCTTTCCAGCCAAAATTTTTAGTGCTGTTGACTTTCCAATTCCATTTTGCCCCACAAGCCCTAAAACTTCTCCAGGTCTTGGAATAGGTAGACGATGCAATTTAAAAGAATTTTTAGAAAAACGGTGAGTTGTATGTTTATCTAAATTGCTTGGGATATTAATGATAGTGATCGCATCAAAAGGGCATTTCTAAAGAATTATTTCAAGAATTATTTAAAATTGTATATGTTGAAATCATTATACCTGTACAACTTACTTTTACGCAAATGCCGCAACCTATACATAATTCTTCTGACAACGATGCTATTTTGGAATTAGGTGTTACTTCAATACAAAGCTTTCCCATTCTTACTACAGGACATGTTTTTTTGCATTCCTGTCGACATCTTTTGGGTTTGCATTTGTCGTCGCTGACTATAGCAATACGAGTTTGTTTGTCTGTCTCCTCACGATCTTTATTTTTCGACATTCTAAAAAATTTGTGCCAAGTTAATTAATACTTGAAAACGATAATCGAAAATTGTATTCGTCAACAGGTTTTGCATTTCTGAAAACTCAACAAAAATTCGAAACTCACTTCAGACAGAATTGAAAGTTAACTGCATAACCTCAAATGAGTAAAATTAACTAAAAATTCTATCTTATAAAATAATTTATTGATATTTTAAAGAAGTTTACAGAAACGCAAACTATTTTTTTTTTTCTCGAGAAAATAAAATTAATTTTACCTTTAATATATTTACAAAAATTATATTTATTAGACGAACGCTCTCTGCGTGTCACTGTCAGCCACAAATTTTACAAAACGAAAAGGAAAGATAATTGTCAAACAGTAGCTATTTCAATTTTGATTCTAACTTTCAATTTGATTCAATTTTAAAAACAAAAATACATTATTAGCAGAAAATTATTACTCTTATGTCGTACTTTACTGGTATGAACTATGACGAAATGAGTAAATTAATTTTATTTTATTTACCGAAATATTATATTATGAATTTTCTAGTTAAATATTGTTTTATAACTTGCAGGTATAAAGATTAATGAATTTAATAATAATAATGAGTTATTCAAAAGCAAATTTAAATAATTAAAATTAAAATACTGTTAATAAATATTTTTAAAGAAATATCTACATGGTATTCAATAATGGGAGGAAAATAGCACAATAATATCAACAAAAGACACTTCAATTCAGTTTGGTAACCCATGTACGTGGATGGATGCAAGGAGAAATGAACAATTAATAAAATGACAAGTATAAAATACAATGATTAACACTGAATTACTGAAACAAAAACAAATTTTGGGACTACCAACATACCGATCATATAAGAATGATACTAATAAGAGCAAAAACTAAGAATAAATAAATAGTGACATTTAGAATTACTAACCTTTTATTCAGAATAAATCAGGTGTTAATTTTAGACTTTGAACATGTCGTTTGGCTGCTGATGCCCCGATATATTCATATAGGACATTTCTATATCATTTTCTTTCAGGAACAAAGGTACTACAAATATTTTGTTATCAACCATGTGGAATAAATTAGAGCTATGGCAAACAATTATTTATTTTTATTTCTAAGGTAATATATTTCAGCCAAACAATGTATAACAAAGTGGTTCAAACTGATTGTTGATGTCACATTACTATTATCATAGCTGCATAATTTTTTGTTGTGCTCTATAAATTTGCTGTCAAGAGAATCAGCTGAGCATAATTTTAATTGAATTGCTATTTTCTTTCAATTTGTTTCAATAAATGTGACAGTTCATTTGACAGTAATTATACTAACTGCCACGGCTACTTCACAGTTCTTATTAAAAATTTTTAAAAGATTTAAAAAAATATGGTCGAAGATACTAAAACTATTGACGCTAATGATAAAGGTGAACACAAAACCTCGAGTGATCTTTCTTCGTCAGAAGCACCTAAAATATTTACGTTGGAAGGTATGATTTCATGACAACATAGTTTTAGTACACTACTAACGAAAATATATTTTTTAACCTTTTTGATTAAGTGTTGAGACATATCAAAGTAGCTCAGCAGCAACATGGGTTAAGGCATGGTGATTATCAAAGATATCGAGGTTATTGTTCGCGGCGTATACGGAGACTGCGTAAAGCACTAAAATTCCCACAAGGCGAAAAGCGACATTTTAAGAGGAGGGACGTGACCATTATAAATTTAACAGGAAAAGGTGCTGATGAACGGTTTATTCATATCCCCTTAATATGTGCAGAAAGAGCTTGGTCTTACGCTATGCAGGTAATATTTAAAACAGGTTTTCAAAAAATAGAAAATTGGATTGGTTTCTAATATTTTAGCTACGACAAGAAGTAAACACGGAGCCTCGAAAAAAGTTCCATTTAGTTAGTAAACTTAGGAAGGCTTGTGTATATGCTTTGCAACTACAGGAATTGTGCAATGTAATATATAATATTTTTGAATTACATCATACTATTTATTATTACAAATTCAGGCAAACAATCTCATTGTTTATTTCAGACTGATGTTTTTGATGCCAGAACAAAGCTTGAAACTGAAGCATATGTCGCATGGATGCATGGAACATTGCACTTTGAGCTATCCTTATGGAAAAGTGCTGCTGAACATCTTAAAAAAGCCCAAGTTATATACGAAAATCTGGCTCAAGCATTACCGGAGGATGAACAGGGATTATATAAAGCAAAGGTTGATGAGTTGACTCCAAGTCTGCGATACTGTGCATACAATATTGGTGATGGAGGTTCCATGGACGATTTATTGGAATTGCGCGCTCAAGGTTTATTAGAAAATATAGACGTTCTCGTTTCACAAACTAAAACTCAGAGCAGTGAAACATTGCAAACAACCGAATGGCGGGGACGCAAAGTTACTGTACGACCAGAAAAAGTTAGATTATTTTTGTTAAGTGTTCAAGAACTAGATAAAAGTCTGGAAAAAGCTAAAACTTTGGAAAGTAAAATAGAACTATTGGAAAATGCTTTGATGGATTGTAAAGATGCAATAGCGGCGGTGAAGGATGAAATCAAACAAGATCCTAAATTAAAATCTGTGACTACTGGGCAAACTGTTTCTGGTATTCAATATCTGTTAGCCTATTTATCTTATATAAGGTTGGCTCGCACTCTTGAACGAAATTTGTGTTTGGTAGAACAGGCTAAGCAAAATTTCGGAAACCCAAATCAAGCACGCGATAAGACCCCGGTTGAAGGAAAACGTGTTAGGCCGCAAGATTTAACAAGATTGTATGAAATTATTTTGCAGAATATTTCAGAAATGCAACAAATATCTGGCATGGAGGAAGATGCAAAATATTTAAATGAATTGGAAGATATTGCGCTAGGTTTCAAGGCATTCCGGTGTTATTATATTGCATTAACTTTAGTAGAAATGAAAAAATGGAAGGAAGCAGTAGCAATGTATGAAAGATCGAAGAGATATGCTACAGATGCATTAAAAGCAAAACCGTTACAGTTTAATTTGGAAGAAAACTTAAAGAAAATAATTGATGCAATAGATGGATGCAAATTTTCGGCACATGCTTATAGTGTTTTGGAAGATGATACTGGCGAAGATGCTAGTTACACAACAAAAACGCAAAAGCCCTCGAAACCATTATTTGAAAGATTATCGCAATACAAAGAAGATCAAAGCTTAAATACAAGAAACCCAAATGTTTTTAAATTGACTCCAGAAATGGAAGCAATACCTTGCAAGCCTTTGTTCTTTGACTTAGCACTTAATTATGTTGAATTTCCTTCTTTAGAAGACAAATTGGAATCTCCAGGGAAAGGAAAAGGGACAACTGGCATTTCTGGTTTTGTTAAAGGGTTTTTGGGTTGGGGTGGCTCTAAATAGTTAGTTAATATTGTTTAAATTTTTATACAATTTGTTTTTTTTTACTTTATCATTTGTGCTTTTTATAATTATTATGAAATTATCGTAACTAATTATTTGAAAATCAATTTATATTAAAAATTAAATACATATAATGAAAATATTGTCAAAAATATTTTGTATAATAAAAGGAGAATAAATACATTTAAAGTATCCTACATTCAAAACGCTCTGTGCATATATAATTTTTTTTATTTTATTATAAGTAGGTTTTTGGGCTTTTTCTAATGTAAATTTTTGTTATTTTTTTCAAGTATATGTTTTGTATTTTTAGTATGACGCAGTCTGTAAAGTATATTTTGTCAATTTGTTGGATAGTAATTACCAGTTGTATAACGAAATATACAACATCAAAAAAAAAAAAACAAAAAAAGGGTCGTGAGTAAATTAAACAAGAAGTGAAAAATAAAGTTAAGAAACAAGAAATTTTGCGACCAAAAAAGTTAAAGTAATTTAGAATATTGTATAATGAAGTTTAAGGGCTGTCTTGTATGGCGTGAGTCCAATTTGCGAATTGTTTGAATTTTAAAGCATGCAAAATGTCGGACTATATTAGAATATTTTAAAATTCGCATACTTAAACGAACATTGAAATAATAAACGAAAATTCAAGCCAATAAACTGTAATATACATATATTAAAAATATTAAACTTCTTTAAACAAAATATTGATAATCAATAATAGTTTCTTTATTAAACAAGTAGAATTTTCGAATTAAAATATTATTTAAAATTCAATATAAATGACTATATATGTACATATATATGTAATTAATTTTTAGTATTACATTTTATTTTTCAAAAAATTTTTATTACTGGGTGCAAAAAATATGCAATTAAATGATAAAACAAATATTTTTTTTAACATTATAAGCAATAAATTAGATATCAATTAATATATTTTTAAATAAATTACAAATTTTTTTTATTAAAAATAACTTATTTATAAATTACATATTAAACATAAATATAATACAATATTTTTTAATAATGTACCGCCATTATTGATAATTCGGCAACAAAAAAAAAAATTCAAAAATAAAAAAGTATTTATGCATAATATGTTTATAATAATTCCTTAATAATTAATTATTGTAACAATTTTTTCATGATTGTGCTTAAAATTAAATATGATTTATTTTTCTTTTATTTGGTTTAGTAAATATAACAAAACATTTTTAAGAGATTTTTGGTACAATGTGTATGTATGAAAGTGCTTATTATAAACATTTTTTTTTTAATTAATTTTAAAGATTACTTATAATTACACGAGTACCTTACAGCTAAAATATTAAAATAATACAATTTGAGTAGTTAAATTCAATATAATAATAATCTTATAATTATTAAATATAAAATGTTAATTTTAAATATCTTTTGAATTGTCTTTAGATTTAACATAAAATATAAAAATACTACATATATATAATAAAATTTAAACAAAATAATTATTTAATTTCCTTACTATGTACGTATGCATTATGTATAAATTTTGATTTCGTAGTGTGAAAGGTTTAAAGATGTTCAAACATTTAAGGTCTAAAATTGTTTTAAAATAAAAAAATTTTCATTTTATACTTTAGCACCGAAATTTCTAAATCAATAAAAGAAAATTATCTTGAATATTATATTAAATCAATATATGAATTAATGAAGGACAAGGCTATAAAATTTAATATAATCCGAATTTTTATAACCAATTTAAAATTAAAATAGAAAGTGTATATTAGGGATTAATAACATTTTTAATCATAATTTTTATAATATAAGTTTAAAATTTATGAAGCTTTAGTTCAGATTATTCTTCAAATTAGTTTTAATATAAGGTGTTGTATTAGAAAAATAATTTTTTTTTGTAGTGAATTATATGAACATTTTTAATGAATATTTTTATCCTATTGTAATTGATTGTACAGTGACTGTAGTGCATTGCTTATTTTAAAATATTATTTATAAAAAAATAAATTAATTTTTAATTTAATTTTTCAGTATCACAATATCAGTTGAGGAGATAAATTTAACAAATTTATTTGTTTTTTTGTTTTATTCTATATTTTTTTAATACGTTATTCTTAAATAATGAAATGTATATGTTAAAGTAATTAATATGAAATTATAACTTAATTATTATATATAAATATTTATGCTTGTAAAATATTCATATGTCCATACATGTAAGTATACAAGCTCTTCTGATATTAAATTTGTAAAAATCCATTCTCATAAAATTCCAATGTTATATCTTTGATTCTATCATGATATTCTTGAGTTAAATTTGGAAGTAAATTTAATTCTTTAACATTTTTATCATCACATATATCATTTAAATTTGGTATATTTGTTGGATCAAATGTAACAGCTGGTAATATCCATATTGCTGCAACTAAACCATATAAAATATTTGTATAAAATTGTTTCATTATATTTTCTAATGAATAAATATCTTTTATATTTTTTAATTTTTCATAATTATTTGGTAAAAAATTATTTTCTAAATTTAATATTAAAGCTGAAGAATATGATTGTAATATATTTTTTAAATTAACTTCCCTTAAATCTCTTTTTGTGCTTGTATATATAAAATGTAAAATATCAAAAACTAAAGATGTATAACGCATTGTTTGTAAATCAAAAAATTTTGCATCAATCGGTGATTTTTCATCATAATTCCATTTAAACATTATATTATTAACCCATAAATCACCATGACAAATAACATTATATGCATCACATTTTGATGTTATTATTAAATTTTGAATTCTTTCAAAAAGTGTTGTTCTAAGTAATTCAATTGATTTTATTGGTTCTGTTAAAAAATTATTTGTATTTGATAAATGTAAACTTAAAAGAGCATTGGTTATTGATGAATCTAAAACGTTACGATAAAATTCTTCAGCTTCTTTACAATAAACAATTTCTTTTATTTGTTGACGATTTTGATGAAAATCTTTTTGGTTTAATTCTTTGGCTGATATTGATGCTGCATGCATACGAGCTAGTTCCTAAAATAGAGACAAAAATATGTATGAATATTAAATTTACAATTTAAGTTTATTTTATTTAATTTTTTTTTTAAATGTGTATATTATGAAATTGAATTTGAATTTTATATCACCTTCATAACCAATACACAATGATCGAAATCTAATGCTATAAGACGATTTTTCATTTTAAATCCTAATTGTTTTAAGTCTTCCAATACTATTATCTCACCATTTTCATCATTTCCAGCAAAAAAACATTTTGGTAAAAATTGTCTGTTACAATAATTTTCTAACATAGGAATAACATATTTATATGCATTTATTTCATTATTAAATGCTTCGTCACATCGATAAAGTTCACGGCGTGATTTACTAGGAATTTGTCTTTTAACTATTACTGTAAAACATTGTTCTGAAAATAAAAACAAAATAAAAATTAAATTTGTAATTATTATGTATTTCACATAATTATGTAAGAAAAAGTAAATGTTTTACATTGCAATAAAAGTAGATGTTTTTAAAAGGAAAAATGAATTTCTCGTGAACCTAAAAGTATGCAAAATTTAACTCTCGTTAATGTTATTACTTATTAGGTTGAAAAAGTAAGAATTTTCATAAACGTACGCAATATATTGCGATATTCAGTAAAAGCAGCGCTATATTTATGGTCATAAAAAATGCCGCTTATTTAGTTTGTTCATAAACATTGCTAATTATCAGCAATATATTGAAATTTTCCTTTCCAGTTACGTTTGTCCAGTATTCTGTTTACGAAAATCTATAATATCTCAGTTTTTAAGAAAAAATTATAAAAATTACTTTCCAATTTTCTTTTTGTTAAATAATTCCCAAAATTCCCAAAATACTCACGTCATTAAGATTAGCTCATGGAAAATTTCAATAATAATTCATTTTTACATTAAAAAACCAAAAAGTTCACCTATAAGCTTTTGTTTAAATCAAATAAAATATTCAATTTTAAAAAATAATTTTAAATAATATAAAATTCATCATATTCACTAGAATAGAAAAAATGTATAACAATAAAAAAAAAACGAAAAGAAAAATATAAGAAAATTATTAGCTATAAGGAAATTTCTAAGCACAAAAATAATAAATTACTGTCTAAAAGGTAAATGAACTTCATTGACGAATATTAAAAACAAAAAAACGAAAAAAAAAAATAAACTTTAAGTAAATTAAATGAAAATAAACTTTCAGTGTCATTACCACATACATAATTGTAGTACTCGTATGCATCTAAATTTAAGAACATTTACACTTGGCTTCATAAAAAATTTTTTATTATTTTCTAAATACAAACGCTCTTTGTAACATTTTTCACTTATTTTTCAATAACGTTGAGTTTTCTTTTTTTTTTTGCTTGCAAAATTTTCGATTAATCAATCAAAATTTTCGATTGATTTGAAGCAAAAATCGATTGATTATTGATCGCATAACTATTATCAATATTATGGAATATTATGGGACCTACAAGATAAAATAACTTAAGTTGTGTAAATTTAAAATCGAATTCAATAGCTTTCCAATAAAATTTTTTTGTGAACGTAAGATAATTTTAGAGTTAATCCTTTGTATGACTTAAGCGTTTTTCGAGTTTTTACTTAATAATGGTCCAAATATAATTCCATTTATATAAATAAATAGATATACATATGTATGTACATATAATGTTGTTTTAATTAATGAACTATTAGAGTAGGAAAAGAAGTTGGCAACGCAGCTTCAATGCAAAGAATTCAATAATTGTCATTTAAATTGTCATTTGTCAAAACTTTGAACTTTGACTTATTCATATAGTTATTATCGCTTAGATTAGGTGTTAATTTGAAAACCTTTTTTTTTTGTATATTAAACTTTAGAGCTCATCAAAGTTGAAACATTTTCTTAAATAAAATTTATTATAAATGTAATCACTAAATAAAGTAACATCATTAGTGTGTTACTTTATAATTTTGTATTTCGCTTATAAATGAATTTCCTACATTAGTTTTAATTATAAAATTACATAAATCACTATGAAATTTGTTATTTTATTTTATATAACTCTTATAGTATGTTCTACAAATATGAATAACAATTAAAGAGTAAAGATTGTTCGTAATTGTCAATGTCAATTTTAAATTTTGATATTTTGCCATAATATCGAATATTTTTATCGAATTAATTTAAAAATTTAAATACTATACACGATAATTGAAATTATTTCAACAATTATTATAATTGTAGTAAATTGCCAAATAACTATAAAAATGTTAACTTCTTAATATAAAATAATAATATCGCTATATATACTAAATAAATTAATAATACCTTGATTATTAAAATCTTTTCCAAAAATATGAACTCTTTTAATCACAGACATATAATTATCACCGGAACTGCTACCAGGTGAACATAAAATATTTTCAAAACATTTTAAATTAAAATCATTAGTTTTATCAATTATTTTAATTAAATTTTCTAATTTTTCTGGTTTTATATCATATGTTAAACTTTCATTATTTTCTTCACAATTTTTTGTCTTTATATCCATACTGGAATAAATTTTTTATATTTTATATATAAATTATATATTAAATAAATTTAATTTATTTTATTAAACATTTAATAATAAATTTTTGTAAAAATAATTTTTTAAAATTAAAGCTTCTATTAATTTTATGAAAATTAAATAAAATCATTTATAATTCGTATCGCATATTCGTTAAAGTATATAAAAAAAAAATTCGCGTAATGTTATTTTTTGTTTCGATTATTAAATTTTTATTCTATCTAAAAAATTTCAGAAAAAATAATATCCGTTAACAAAAAAAAAAGTTTCGTATTAAATATAAGGTAAATGACAGTATTTTTGTCATAAAAAGCTACTGTTACTGTGCAATTTTCGTAATTTTCAATGAAGAATTAAATTATTTTTATATTAAATGGGTACATACATACCTATACATATAATAATAATAATATTAAGGATACAAAATTTAATATTTCCATTGTGCATATTGTTTGTAGTCATATACAGAAGACAATTTTTATAATTACAGAATAGAATTTTTTGATTAAATTAAAAAACTAATATATGCACTAGTGCCCTTCAAAAAGAAGTAGTTTCTTGTGTAATTATAAATATCGTCTTCTGTGTATCACCACTACAAACTATACCTTACACAATGATAATTCAAAATTTGAGAATTTTATTGATTCACAATGGTTTTTAAAACTTAAATTGGATAACTTATATGTAAGTAGCTGTCAATGAAAATTGTCAACATGAATTTTAATTACTAAAAAACATATAATAATTATTAGGAAACTAATATTATTTATGTTTAAAAATTATAGAAATTAAATTTGTTTTATAGTTTTATCAATTACTTCAGAACTAATTATAAACACTTCGTTAAAAATTATAAGGTTAATTATAAAAATTTGGACGGAAAATTCTTGTTAAATTATACTGGAGTTATTTGTTGTAACCACAGAAATATATTAAGTAGAAGTATATTATGTTTTATATAAATGCAATAGTAATTTAAAATAATTTTAAATAATTTCTCCTTAATTTCCTTTCTTTAATTTATTAAACTTTCACTAACAATATTATAAATTATTTTATTGTTATTTGTTTTTTTATTCTATTTCGCTCCTTGGAGGAGCATAGGGCTGGTGCATGATATAATATATAACCCTGAACCAGTTTCTTATGTCATCGAATTTACTAAATAGGTGCCGAGCATACCGGAGATTTTATTGTACTCGTATAAATACTGCAAAATTATAGAATTAAGATTGACTTCTCAAATCTTTTTCAATCTTAATTCACTTCAATCAATTGGGCACGTATATTATTTTGACTATTTAAATTAGAGTTTATTTCCTATAATACAAAAGAAATATCTTTTGCAAATTTTATTTTAATAATTTTTATATTATAAAGCAAATTATAAATATTATATTTTTTTTAAATTAAATATAGAATTCCCATTGTATTACCTACGTATATCACAAAATTTTGACGAAATTCAAAAATTATATTATATTATTAGTTTTGCGACCTTATATTCACTATATATATACTCGTATATTTAGCACATATTATTTTCTCATTCAAAAATAACTATCTATAATTAGTAAATATGTATATTTTATTAAATAATAAAATAATTATAATAAAATTTTTTTTTAACTAATTTCTTACAATTCATTTTATATATTTTTAAATTGCAAAATTTCTAAAGTATGACTAAATAACTGTCATATTACCTTATATATTTTATTCATATTTTTATGTACATATGTATACTATGATATAGAAATTCGCATCAAAATTAACATATGTGCATTGTTTATAAAAACAAACAATATTATTACTTATATATGTATATTAACTAATTTTAAAACAAAAGTAAATATATATATATATATATATATATATATATATATATATATATTTATTTATTTATATATTATATTTTTATTTATATAGGTGTGTATGTACATAAATAATTAGAATTTGCAAATTTTATCGCGCCTTAAATAATTATTTTACATTTATTTTGTTTTTGTTTTGTGTTTTGTTATTTGAACGTTTCGGCAGCGCGGCAATTGTATAGCGTCGGTGAAATGCAATCGATCATTTCATATCGATTGAAAATCTATTTTGATTTTTTTTTTTATTAAAATCGATTAAAGCGTTTTCGTTTTTTTTTCCTTTCTATTTATTTTCGTTTTATTAAAAATTATTTAATTATTATTATAATTTTATTTTTTTTTAATTTTTTCTATATAATTTACAATAACTTATTATAAATGTTATAAATAATATTTATTATATTAAATTATTAGAACGTTTTCGCTGTTTTCTTTGAACTGAAACCAGAAAACTTTACAAAAATGCATTTAACGTATATTGAATGAAATAAATAGAAAAAGAAGAAGAAAAAAAGCAATGCAAATGAAATAGAAAAAAGTGCAGTAAAAAAAAAAAAAAACAAAAACAAAATACTGTAAAAGCTTTTATAAGAATTTTTATATGTACATAGGCATATACATATGTATGACTAATAATAAATTGTACATAATATTTATATTTTATATTTTATATAAAATTAATAATTATTATGCATATTTGACATTAGATAATCAAAACTGTTCAAGTGTAAAATTATTAATTTTACAATAATTAAAGTAATCAAATTAATTTTTCTTTTATTAATTCAAAAGTTTTTAATATCTAAACAAAACTAAATATATATACATATATATATTTGATAATTTTGCATATTTTGTATATAAAATGATCCTTGAGTTGCATGTTATATAATATTATAATTTGATTTTTTAATTCGATTTATAGTTTAAACATCAAAATAAAAATATTGTAATTTATAAAATTGAAAATTTTTAGTATATACCATAATTCAAAAATATTAAATAGCCTTGTATTTATAGACAAGGTAAGGCTATGTGATATTTTAATAGGATATATTATAGCCTTTTGCAGCCAATATTATATTTATTTGAAAACTGATGATATCACATTTTATTCTTAAACAAAAATGAATGAAAAATTAAAACCCTTTGATGCAATAAATTTTAAGGAAAGGCACACTGCTTTTAATTGCTTTACACTGTTTAAGTAAATATGTATTTACATATTTGTACACTATATACAATAGTGAGTTAATGTAAATTTAGTTTCCGCATGTCTTTCGAAATGGCATGAAATTGAATCATTTTTTTTTGTAATTTTACAATTTTATGTTTTCGAGATATATTCGGGGTATATGTTTTAGTATCCTGCTATATAAGGACATTCTCTAATATTTTTATGGATTGAACATAGAAAAGAGAACACACAAGGACATTCTTCGTCTGTTATGTTTATGTAAATAAATGTTTCAGTATTTTTAATATCCTTAAAAGTCATATATTAATACTAAAACTTTTAATTATTTTCGAATAATTATCCTACGGCCTTAATACTCGTATGTAATTCGATTTCAACGAAACGATTTTTGTATTCGGAAAAATGTTAACGGTAGTACCAATCAATTTGTATGGTACTATCTCATCATTTTTGCAAATACGAAAATCGTTTCATGAAAATCGAATTATATAGCAAGACCCCAGCATATTGTTATTTCTATATATGTTTTTCTGAACAATTCTGAATTAAGTATAAAATTAAATGGAAATAAATACAGAAAAATTGATTTTAATTAATTAGAACTTATATGTCTAATAGAAGTAATATTTAAGAATGTCTGTCTATGTAATTGTATTAATAACAAAATATCTTCTAATAGGCTCATATTAAACTATATACAAGTATAATATGAGTAGCTCAAATATTTGAGCTATGATATACATATGAACACACATTCAAAATTATATATATAGAATATAGAATATTTCTTATTTATAATGCACAAATTTCAATAAAGTATTCTTGTACCACAAGCTATATGTATATAATATGCAATATCTCAATAATTTCCTTCAAATATTTCTTTACAATGTAAAAATTTATCTAAAAATGCATTTCTGTTATATATGTATATATGTACATACATATACAATATATGTATGTATTTTTATTTATATATGCTTATATGACCCAAACTTTTTATAAATACTATACAAACCATGTAAATAGAGAAAAAGAAAACAAAAACCGAAAAAAAAATGTAAAAATAAAAAAAAATGGCCTTGACTGTGTCAAGCAATGCAGAACTTGCACTTGGCTTTAATTTCAAGAACATAGATACATATGTAGATACATATATATAAAAATTATGTATAAAGGGAACTATGAAAATCGATAAAATTAAAAAGAACACTAATATAAAAATAAAATTCTAAATAAAACCGCAAGAGAAAAATGAAAAAAACAAAAGTATAAAATAGAAAAAAATAATTAAAAAAAAAAGCTTTTAAATTCATCTTTACTATATTGTAGATGCATTTCGTAAGTATGTATAATAAAAAAAAAAAACAGAGAAAAAAGCAAAATTGTATCTATGCAGAAAACAAAAAATTTTTTAATCGCAAATAAACAGTTCCTTAATTCTAATACTATTAAGCTTTATAAAAAATTCGCCTAAAGCTAAAACTGTTATTTATCAGGGGAGTAGAATTTAATATTAAAAATTTTTTTTGTTTAATTAATTTTGTTTAATTAATTTAAAAATTAATGAGTAATTAGAAAGATATTTTTTCTTGTATCACATTAAAATCAACATTTTGACACATTTTGACATTTTTATTAAAATATTAATTAAATAACAAAAATTTCACTAATGACGCACAAATACATTATTGCTGACATTGTTATGACAGAGTTTAACTGTTTGAATAATGTGAAGCCGTTTTCGCGTTTTAGTTCATAGCTTAAATTTGATCATATTCAATTGAATTGTATGAGCCACACTCTATTGTAAGAGTCACACTCAATTAACTCAATTGTAAGAGGTACACTCTATGTTCAGATGAAAAATTTAGAATTTTGTATTCTAAGAATTCTGATTTTTTAAAGTGATCACCCAAAAACAGAGCTTCTACGGTCATATTTAAAGATTTCTCAAATTTTAAGTATCAAGATATATGAAAATTGAAAAATTTCTTTTTTGAGTCATTTAGAACGCAAACAAATCGAAATCTTAATGTGATTACGAATATAGATAATATTTCAACAGATCTGGATCTGAGTCTTAGGTAAAAAACAAAAAACAGTCCAATTTGAAGTCAAATCGTAGCATGAGTTCTGTCACGCTTGAGTTTTGGAATATTTTTTGTGTGTAGAAGCGAAATGCAAATTTATTGCTTATAGAGAATTTTAAAAATAGTACAATTACATTTAAAGCCGAGCTATTACGTTTAGTCTATAAATTGATTATTTGTGTGTATTTTTTAACGAAACTTTCTTTTATAAATTTCTTTAGTTAAAACAGCAATATTTTTAAAAATGGTTTATATACCAACACAATATAATGGCTAAATCTAAAAACGTAATTTTATTGTATATTTTCTGTCAATTATTTGAAGTCAAAATTATAAATTTCATTATAATTTTCTATTTGAAATTATTTTATTCTTAATTTTTTATACAAAATGCACAATTTAGCAATTATAATATTGTAAACTAATATATACAAAACTATACATACACATATACTGTTGAAATTGAAACTGAATACAACACTGGTGCTTTATTGACAAGGAATAAAATTCTACTGCCACATTACCTCATAAAATTATTCTTAATTTTAAAATATTATACTAGGATACATACTTACGCATTTATGTGGTTTTGGCTTTTATATACCGCATGCATTCACATTGCATACCTTTACATGTATGAAAATAATGTATATACATATGTACATAAATAAATTATACATACATTTTAAGATAATTTTTTTTTATTTATTATTATAAAAATGAATATTTTTTTAAGTTTGAAACACGTGAATTCGAATTTGAAGGTCATGTTTTCATTTATTTTGTGGTTTTATGTTTTTTTTTCTCACATTTTTTCTCTACAAAATGCAAATTAAAAAAAAAAAAACCAGATGATTGAAAGCTTTTTTTTTGCAATTTTTAATTTTTTCTATTTTTAACATCATTTTTTTTTTATTTTGTCTTTTGATCATATTTAACAATGAATGTGTATGTAAATTTGTGCATTCTTTTTTTGATTTCTCTATATACATACATATATATTCTATATGAATTTCGCTACATAGACATAAAATAGTATAGGGGTTGTAAAAGTCAGCGGTAATCATAGATAAAATTTTGTATATGATATGTGTGTGTATATGTAAATAATTTTTAAACAACATATAAGTATAAATAAATTAAACAATAATAATAACAATAAAAATGTGTGTACATGCATTTTAGATATATATATTTTATATATATATATATAGTTAGATAAAAATAGATTTGTAATTGCATATTATAAAAATTTATGTGGGCACATAGTTACAATGAATTTTCTAGAGAAGCTTTTTTTTTTTTTTTCTATTCATTTCTACATTTTATTTAAATTATGTATAACAATTATAATTAATTTACAGTTTAGACACACGTTTATAAATTATATTCTATTTATATATACACGAACATTCTTTGTTACAGATATATATGATTTTTAATTTTATTTTAATAATGCGATTTTATTTATGATTAAAATATTATATATAGAAAAAATATTTATATAAGATTTAAGTTGATGTTACGCTTGATTTTTTAATCAGGCCTATAAAAAATATTAAAATATATACATTATATTATTGTAAATTTGTAATGCCTACGTATTATATGGGTATATATAGGTACACAAATATATGTGCATAAATATATAAATATTATAAAAACTATATGATTTACAATGTATTGTGAACAAGGTCTTGAAAAAATTTATGATTATTTTTTTTTTCTTTTGTTTTTATATTTATTTAAATATTTGTAAATATAATTTGATTCTAGAATTTAAATGTAATAGATTAAATAATACATATAATAATTATAATATGTTAAGATTATTTGTATATATATAAAATTTTTAATTTACATAAGATATAACATATATAGTTAATGAAATCTTGTAATAAATAAAATTTTACCGTGAAATTATGTTGAATCATAATGATTAATGACGATATATCAATGTAGTCCACTATGTATGTGTATATATTTATATATATATATCCGTAATGACACATGAATATTGTATAGGAAGAAGGTAAGTAAATAATAAACATACGTATAAAAATTAGATTAGAATTTCATTATTTTAAAAATTCGAAAATAAAAAATGTGAATTCATTATTGAAAATATTTATTT